TCTCTTTATTCTTGACAAGAGTTGCACTAACAAAGTATTTGTTGTTGAATGAAGATATATAATATACAGGATTGAAGGTGTCTTGATCATTTTAATGGCTGAAAATAAAGTTTAATTATTTCCAATTTTGGACCATATTCAATAAGTATTTACTTCAACTTTCGTGTTGACTGTCAGAACATATAGTATCCTAAATACTTATGTTGTACCTCTTTCTACACGAAGAGCTCAAACTAGTTACTCAATTTAGTATATTTTATGTGTGTAGCCAAAATGACCGATTTTCGCCAATATCCCTACAAAAATAAGTATTTAAGTACTTCACCGAACAAGTTTATTCCACTTTGTCGTAATTTATATTTCGAGAACGTATATATTGTATATACAAACAATAAATCCTTAAGGATAATACACCACAAGCCACTTCCACTCCACAAGCTTCAAAATACCCCTCACACGGCAAACTTTATTCATTTATATAATAAGTCTGTGTACAAACGCTGATAAGCTCCCAGTGTATGCTGCATATTATAATACACGACACACGCTATCCTGTGGAATGGTCATGTTATCCAATTCCTAAAACCTGTTGTATATGTGTAAAAATTAAAGATTGTTCTAGTTGTGCTCTAATAGATGCAAAGTGTCATGAGTTATCAAAGTTGACGTTGGTCATGATCATGTTCATGTTGGTCATGGTCATGTTTATAATATCTTATCTCTCCGGCCGCGGCCGGCCGGCTTGGTGTGCCAGATTTTTTTTAAAATGATTAAATTGAAAAACAAAAACGGTGTGTAAAGTAAAGTAAAGTAAAGTAAAATTTATGACATCACATCATCACACATGTCTACAAACTATCATCGCACTGTGTGAAAAAATATATAATAAATATTTCCCCACCAACATTAATTAATTATCAAATACAATATTTAAAAACAATTTCATCAAAAACATTATCCTATTTTTAAAACTTCCCAGTGGAATAAAGATTTATAAAACGCTTCTTTGCCACATAAGGATGGAACCAAAGATAATTGTTATGTTTCTCTTTATTACTGACATAACTGGCTCCCTCAATTCTTACTAAAACTTCATTAGAAACATTCCAAAAAAAGCAATCATTTGTAATACTTTTAGAAATCATATCTATCTTATATCCTTCTAATTTAATTTTAAAACCTAAAACTGTCACAGAGTTCTTGACGTCCGGAGGGAGTTTGTTCCAATATGGAATAACTCGCTCCGGGAGAAAAGACTTCTGGATATTCTTGACCTTTGTCACACTTTTACTACATCTATTGGATGAAACCAGATTAAGACCTGATCTGCTTGGTCTGAACAAGTCTGAACCATAATCAGTCATAGCATTAATAACCTTAAAAGCTTCAATAAGGTCCCCACGTATTCGCCGCTCTGCCAGCGTTGTCAAATTGAGGATTTCCAGTCTACGGCTGTAAGGAAGAGTACCCACCTCATCAATCAGACGGGTAAACCACCTCTGGACGCTCTCCAGCTCCAAAACAGTCCCCCAACTTCCATGAGCCGCAGGTGGATTCCACAATTGGACACAATACTCAAGATGAGGTCTTATTAAAGCTTTATATATAGCAATCATAACAACCTTTTCTCTAATAACTAAATTCCTTACAATCCAACAAATCATACAATTTGCCTTAGCGATACATGCTTTGATCTGTTCGTTTCAAAGCAGGGAGCTATGGGTAATAACCCCCAAATCTTTTTCCTGTGCAGATACTTCAAGTTCTATACCATTTACCTTATAATTTAAATTAGGATTGTTGTTAAAATTAATGTGCACTACTTTGCACTTGGCAGGATTAAATTGTAAAAGCCAAATACTTTCCCAAACTTCTAATTCTTCGATATCTTCAGCAACACTACCGTGGTTAGCTGCATTACCAATTAATTTAAGATCATCAGCAAATAACTTTATCTTATTTTTTACAAGGTCAGGCAAATCATTAATATACAGAATGAATAGGAGAAGGCCTAGAACTGACCCCTGAGGAACACCAGATAAAACATGTTTAACCTCGGACCATTGTCCTTCTACAGAAACCCTCATAGTCCTGTCTGTCAGAAAATCTTTAATAACATTCAACACCTTTCCTTTGACACCAAAGCCTTCCAATTTAGACAGAAGTCTAAAGTGGGGGACTGTGTCGAATGCCTTACTAAAATCAAAGTATAGAAGATCAACCGGGGCACCTTCATCTAAAATGTCAAGAATGTCATCAAATGTCTCTAAAAGATTAGATAAACACGATTTACCCTTAACAAATCCATGCTGATGCTTCGAAATTCGATGTTCTAGAAAATTTAATACATGTGCTCTCACCAACTTTTCATACACTTTGCACAAAATACACGTTAATGAAACTGGTCTATAATTTAAGGGGTCCGATTTAATACCCTTTTTAAACAATGCTACAACAGATGCAGATTTCCACACTGCAGGTAAAGATCCTGTATCTGAACACTTTTGAAATAATTTAGTCAATGCTTCAACAAAATTATTGTCATAAGCTAGCGATTTCAACAACTTCGGATGAACACCATCCGGACCAGAACTCTTAAAAATGTTAAGCTTTAAAAGTTGCTTTTTTATATCAGAACTGCTGACTTCCATATCATCAATATCATCAATACTCTCATTGTCAGGTCTTAAATTCTCAGTTTTAGGGAGAGGGCCAGGTGGTTCACGCACAAAAACAGAGCTAAAGGCACTTGCGAGTACCTCAGCTGACTCAGTTGAACTATCTGTGCGTGTACCATCTCCTCTATCTAAAGAAACCACACTTGATTTAATTTGACGTTTATTTCGTAAATAAGAGTAAAAAGACTTACAATTCTGCTTTAGATTAGATGTAATTTTCTTTTCATAGTTAACTTTAGCTTTAATTTCTGCTACTTCATAAGTATGTTGTTTGCTACTTGCATAACTAAAATTAACATCAGATGGATTAATATCAAACTCAGCCCATGCTTTATCTTTATTCTTTCTCATTCGTTTAAGTGCAGATGTACTCCATGGCAACTTGACAGGTCTGTTGTCGAGATAAACCGAAGCAGTCGGAACAGCTGCAGCAACAGTCTCCAGTTTACCATGTAATTCAGCCCACATATCTTGAACATCATTTGTAGAACTATAATCCCAGTCGATATTTTTCAAACTAAAATTTAATAACTCTTCAGAGGAAATCTTACCCCATATAGGTTTGATAATCTTCTCTTTTAAACATTTGCTAGTATCCGGCGAAACAACTAGTTCGACAAGTATCCCAACATGATCACTCTTACCAAGCGGAGAAACGATCTTACAACCGTTGACAAGAGCATCATTTGTATACAGGACCTGATCAAGAAGACTCTCCTGGAGAGTATCCTTCACAAGCCGTCTTCTAGTTGTCTCGTTGGTGAAATACCAAGTTAAACCACTGTCATTGAAAACATCCATGAATTTCTGTTGAGTAACTAAAAACTGGTTCTTGCTAACAATATTACTATTTATGCTACCAGTTTCCCATAAAACATTTGGTAAATTAAAATCTCCTAAAAGGAGTGTTTCAAAATCATTCCTTTCACTACAGATGCTCTTGATACAAGATATTAACGCATTATTCTGTTCTAAATTCAATGAAGTGGATCTATAAATACAACAAATACTAATCAGTCCACCTGATGTGTTGATATTAACAGCTAAAGAATCCGGTGCCTTTAAAAAAGAGTTCACTAGTGAAGCATTACAACAGTTTTTAACATAAATTATAGAGCCTCCTCCACCACTTATACTGCCAGTGGAATTGTCAATTCTAAAATCTCTATCTTTTCTAAACATACTAAATCCTTCAATATAAATTTCGGCATCTAATATATCACTACTAAAATGAGTTTCTGTTACACAAATTACCTCAATAGATTTATACATTGATAAAATACATTTTAGTTCATCAATTTTATTAAATAGGCCGTTAGCATTGGTATAAAAAATATTTAACGGCTGGGCACTGCGGCCTCCGCTTTGTCCTCTGTCTTCTCTGGCTCTCTTTTCTTTGCTTCCTCCTTCGTCTTCTCTGTCTCTCTTTTCTTCGCTTCCTCCTGCCTCTTCTTCCTCTCCTTTCTGGCTAAAAAACGAATATCTCTGTCTGCCTTGCAGAGGTCCAAGTTGATCCAATAAGTTGACTCTTTCCAGCCCTTACCATGGTCAGCGTAGAAATTTACTGACTCTTCATCTCGTGTCTGGATGATGAGCGGGCGACGGTGATCTGGCTTGTCAGCATCAAGCTTGCCAGAGCGATGGCAACTTATCATGTCGTCCTTCTTAATCTTTAGGGTCTCCCTGCAGAACTTGGAGTCGTCCTCCTGGCGTTGCTTAGAGGTAGTCTTTTTGCTCTCTGGAACCTTGAGCACACACAGATTGAGTTTTCGTTTGTTTCGCTCAAATGTATCAGTGTGCATCTTCATTTGCACTTCCGAAATAACAGTTTCAGAAGCTTGTTCACGACTCATGTCATCGAGAACCTTCTTCTGGGTTTGTGCTGTTACCTCAGAATAGAGACGAACAGCTTTATCAACTGTTTTCTCTGCGCTTCCTTTAATAGCTTCCTTAATCGAGTTAGTCAGGGCCGGGGTCAAATGTTGGAGTTCCTCTTTAATAATAGCCCTGACAGCCCCGTTTTCCTTAGTGTCAGCTGAGGTATGAGGCGCCACAAAACAGTATGGGCACTTCCAGTTTGTTAAATTCAGTAACATCTCGTTTTTAAGTCCAGATAAACCAACACAACTCAGGTGCCAAAATAATTGGCAAGCTTCACATTCAACTGATAGTTCTTCTGACATGTAAACATCACATTGGCAGTATTTTTCCTCTGGCACTGGGACATTATCAGAAGATGAATCCTTAGGGGGACTCGTCTTGACTCCACGTTTTTTTCGTATCGACACCCTCTCGGGTACATTGCTACTTGCCATCCCTGAACTCAAATTATTTGTTATATAGTAGTGTTGAAAGTATTAAAACTGCAAAAGCTTTAAGGCACGCGCATTCCTTGCCTTGTTAGTTACCTGTCCTTCCAAAACCAAACTAGCAGTCAAGGACAAAAAGTCATACACCAAATGGGCATTATATTTTATGAATTGTTTTACATCTTTTTATTCTGTAAAATGTGCTAAAATTAAATTTCTTGTTTCATTGAACAAATTTCTTGTTTCATTGAGAATCTCATAGAGAGGGGGAGGGGGCAACAATTCCTAACTTAAAAATTAAAAAATGGATAACATATGTTTTATTTGGGTAGACGGCAAAAATTTAGTGACGGGTGGGGTGGGGAGGGGCACATGTACGTTTCTCCACTGGCCACTTCAATGCAAACTGAAAATGTTCTCTTTGGCGACAAATTTGGCAACAAATTAGCTATGAAGTTTGAATGTATTATTATGTCATGAGTCAAATTTTTACGTGTATGAGACAGTATCACTTTTTCCTTCCAATATCCTAAATATATGAAAGTTAAGTTAAGAATTCTATGGTAATCGATTTAAATCACAAGCGGTTACCCAAATCTTAAGCACAATATTATGGAGTGAACTGATCAGAGCTTGTAGTGGATTTAAATCACAGGCGCAATTTTTTTTCATAGGATTTCAAAAGGATTTCAAAATAAAATGATCATTACAATAAACATTGTGTCGGATCTCAATTTAAAAAATAAAGATAAAATGAAAGTCAAAAACGAAAAAACCGAAACCTGCCCTGAAAAATGCACGGTTGACGGTTATAGTCTAAAGAGTTTAAAAACCGAGCTATTCTAAAAAGGAATGTTCATGACGCGAACAACCAGTCCTTTGTGTCCATGCCTAAGATCCACACATAAATTCCACACTAAATCAAAAGTGTGAAACGCACACGAAAAATACCAGTTGAGTCCGTGAGTCATGTTGTTAGTCCTTCCTTTTCTTTTCTGTCACTCGGGGGGAACCTCCGCTTGTTCACTTTACTCAAGAATCTGGCAGTTTCTCTGATCAATAGGATATCCTTGAAGAGGTCGGCAAAGGTCTCCGCTCCAGTGGTGATCATGGTTCTCGCCTGCTGACCTATGTTTCGCCTCAGGTCGTCGTAAAGCAAACAATCCGTGAGAACGTGTTTCTCATCTTCAATGATCGGCTCAAACATTGGTAGCTCAGCCAGTATACCGACAGCTTCAAGGTCTGATGAAGAACAGTGCTTACAAATGCGACTGAGCGGATTTTCACGGTTGATGGCGTATCTACTGGTCTCGATGTTGAACTTATGAGCACTCATTCTGAACTGCGCCAGCCGCTTCACCTCTTCTCCACTGAGCTGCAGGTTCAGGTACGCTTCAGCTGTAAATTCACTTTTGATAGTGTTGTAGAAACTGAGCTTCCGGTTGTTTTGCCGCTCCTCCTTCCAACAGTTAATAAAAGTACTACGTAGTGCTGTTTTGAATTGGTTGGGGTAGGTCAACCTGCGAGATGATACTGACTGAAGGCTTTGTCGGAGATCTTCTATACCTTTGTACCATGGCAGATTGAGTGTGCGTTGTTCTATGAACGCCTGTCTGGCTAGACTTGTGCAACCAGCTCTGTCCATTTGCTCAAGTCGGTTGAAATACCCAAATACTTGCTTTGATGCCTTTATCACTAGGGGGCAGCGGCCTGTATCACCCCATACACTCGCATTTGAGGTTTTTCTGCCCACTCCTAAGGTCCACTTGAGGAATGAGAGATGAAGCTTTTCGAGAGGATCTCTTGCAGTCTCCTTCAGGAGAGATTTGGTGTTGATATTATCTTGATAGTTTCTGACAAAGAGAGTCTCTGGGAGCCACACCTGACATCCGTATGTCACAATCGGTACCACAAGCGTGTCGAATAGCTTGAATACGATTGTTCGCCTGAAGTGTCTTAAGTCAATACTGCTTTTTAGCGCAAAGTAGCTTCTGAGACCTTTTTGCTTCAGTTTTTTCTGTGCTACTGCTGAAGAACCGTTGAGGGTAAAGGTTATCCCGAGGTAGCAATATTCTCGAACTGATGTGATGTTGGTTTCGCCGAGTTGGAATGTCAGACTCTCTTTAAGGAGCCTCCCGGAACGGTTGAACACCATCACAGCCGTTTTTCCGATGTTAACGGTTAGTCCCCATTCGATACAGTAACTGTGTAAAACGTTTAGAAGTTTCTGTAGTCCAGTATGATCAAGGGCAAGAAGTATAAGATCATCTGCCCAGAGGAGATGAGTGATATTAACATTATTCAGTTCAGGGATGTTGACTTCCTCAGCGTTATCCAGATCTAGGGAGAGTTGGTGGATGAAACACTTGAACAGCTCAGGAAACATCGGGTGACCTTGCTCAGTCCCACAGTGAATGTCGATTGTCTCTGACAATCTGTTCAACAGTTTCATATAGTGTGATGATGTGATGTCACAGTTTTTACTCTACTTTACTTTACTATCCTCATACCAATATAGTGTCTTAGCCTTCTGTTACTTAACTATTGCCCGTTATTTTCGACATTTTTGTAGATTGCCCAAAAGTTGAAATGATTGAGTTTCATCAAATGATCAAGTTTCAGCCTTTTATTTTGCAAAACTGAACAGTTAAAGAAGTTATTTCAGACCGCAAGTTTATATCTTTAATAATGGCCAAAAACTATGTAGTTATACCTTTTGCATACCTGTCTGAAGAATACAAATTCAATTCTGGTCTTTGTCTCAATATTGATAAATCATGTTTTCAGGAAGTGTACACAAATATGATAGAATTGTTGCCAGCCCTTGCTGTGTTAGTAGCTGTATTCCTCATTCTTCATTCCCGAAACAGTCAGAGCAAAACCAAAGTTGGTGTTATTGTCCTTGGTGATATTGGACGAAGCCCTCGTATGAAGGAGCATTGCCTTTCCTTAGCCAAAGAAGGCTTTGACGTGGACTATATTGCAGAGAAGGGGAGTGAGATTCATCCAAACCTGGTAACAAATAAAAGGATTTCCATCCATCTCATGAATCCTTACTGCATTTCCCTTCCAAGAGTATTGAACCTCATTGTAAAACCTATTTTCCAATCTATAGTTTTGTTTACAATGTGCTGCCGACATTTCTGGGCCTGTAGCACTATTTTGATGCAGAACCCTCCTACAATCCCTGTCATGGCAGTTGTTTGGCTTGTTTCTAGAATTTATAATGCTAAGATGGTTATAGACTGGCATAACTATGGCTACACAATCTTACAACTTGGTCTGAGTTCTGATAGCACCCTTGTTAACATTGCAAAGAAGATTGAAAGAATCTTTGGAAGGTAATTAATTTTTAGATTCATCTGGGGATACTTAATGTTGGCGTCTGTACTCTGTATGCCTTTTTTATGTGATATGAAAAAAAGAAGGTTTAATTTATTTTACTAGACATGCTCATATTATAACAAATGTAATGAAAGATAATTTTCAGGTTGGCAGATGACAACTTCTGTGTCACTAATGCTATGTCACTTGACTTGAATGACAGCTGGCACATCAAAGCCTACTCCCTTCATGATAGGCCCTCGGTTCTAACCTCTCTAACCCCAAGACAGAGACATAACCTCTTTAACACCCTAAAATTAAAATATCCTGTTTTTGGGTGTAGTTCTAGAGCAGATGATGACAGTATTACTGCTCTCTCAAGAGATGAAGATGGCAAGATAAGAAGAGTGGATGGGCGGCCCGCTCTGATAATTAGCTCTACAAGTTGGACTCCTGATGAAGATTTTTCAGTGCTTCTTGCAGCTCTGGTCAAATACGACCAAGAGTGGACTGCAGACCACCCTGACATGATATGTGCTATCACAGGAAATGGACCACAAAAGAGTTACTATCAAAGCAAGATAGCAGAACTTAATATGTCTCACGTGAAAATTGTAACGTGTTGGCTTGAACCAGAGGACTACCCCAAACTACTTGCTGCTTCTGATTTGGGCGTGTCCCTTCATTTCAGCTCTTCAGGCCTCGACCTGCCCATGAAGGTTGTAGACATGTTTGCTGCTGGTATTCCTGTTTGTGCCAGGAACTTTAAGTGTCTAAAAGAGCTGGTGATACACGGAAAGAATGGATGTGTCTTTGAAGACAGTGATCACTTAGGTAGACAGTTACTGCAGATATTCAAAAAGTTTGGGTCAAAAGAAAACAGGCATCTCAGTATTTTAAAGAGTGGAGTTGAACATTTTAGGAAGTTGCCATGGCATTATCACTGGAGGCATGTTGCTCTGCCAGTGTTTGATGACGAGTATGTGTTTCAAGATTATGGGAGTGAGGAAGAGGACAAAATTCCGCATGGTCTTTCTGACTTTGGTATTCCTGGCTCTGGTCTCCCTGGATCTGGAATTCCTAGGAACATGATTTGAACAGCGACTGGATAAAGGAGAAGATGACTAGAATTTAGCAGGGAAATTATTGTATTGTTCTTTGAGTTCCGTGGTTTGTCTTTAATTTTGTCGTTTTCTGTTCCTGATAAAATTACCGTAGAATTGATTATTGTTAACATGTGTTTAAGATATGATGTTATTCGAGACATTCTTAGATTTTCCATTTTAGGGATATTGATTATATCGCAATGTACTTGAAGCTGTTAGCCTTCATTAGTTATTTAAATTGAGCATTTCTGAAATAAGATTGAAAATCACACTTTATTTATCAGCTTTTAGGGAAATATAATATTATATCGTATTGCAGGCTTGGAGTGGTTAAGTGTTGACACGACACGTAATATGAAATAATATAAAATATTCACATTTCACAATAGGTTATAATTTTACATAATTTTTGTTACTGACTACACTTTGATATGCCATATTGTATTTATATAATTGAATAGCTATTAGAGACGAGGCCAACTTACCCATCAGTATAGCGGAGAAGCAGCTGAATCTAGTAAATAGCATAGCAACCCAAACCTAAATTAAATGATCGCCTCACTTTAAAGAAAATTAACTGGTTCTGTCGAGGCTAACCCCATTAAACAAATTTGGCACACTGCCTGAAATATCACACTCATGTCAAATGTGACTTAATAATAATAATAATAATAAGTAGGAATTTATACATCGCTTTATAGCCATAAAGAACTCAAAACCCAAAGATTCAGTTCAAACCATCTAAAGCGACTCATGAGTAACATGTACATAAGAACTTATTTTTATGAAGTATGGATTTTATGAGAGAGGTAATACATGATACTTATACAAATACGTTTTCAAAGAGATGAGTTTTTAGTTTCTTTTTAAATAAGACGATATCAGTTAGTGTTCTCAATTGATAAGGAAGCTGATTCCAAACAGAGGGTCCGCAGTAGCTGAAACTTCTCTCGGTTTTACTATAGTTTGAAATAGGAGGAACATTTAGGAGGAAATAGTCTTCTTCAGTTCTTAGTACACGTACAGGTTGACTCTTGATGTCAATACATTTGGTGATATACTCCGGCGCTATGTTGTTGACGCATTTGAATACGGTTAGAGCAATCTTATACTCTATTCGTTGTCGTATTGGAAGAAAATGGGCTTTTTTCAGGAATGGAGTGACACTGTCCCATTTTTTTATAGCTAATAACCTGCTCACTAAGAGTTAGACTCGTTCTTTTCCGGCTTGGAATGTTTGTCTTTGAAATTACTTCATAAAATTTAGAGTAAGTAATGAAGGATAAGGTAACTTTAATTTTTACAATTCGTTTTATTCGCAAAATTAGCACGGGATTTGAATATTTGAATATCGATATCGGTTAGCTGAAATATATTATTATATTCTCAATTCTCACATTTCCGTCACATTGTCACAGTAGTATTATAGTAGTTATTTTGATTTTATTTGTTAAGCTTTATTTTATGATATTTTATTTGTTTTGATTGATTGTTTAGACTTTTCGTTTTTGAGTTTATACGGTAAATGCTCATTAAATATACTTGAATTTGCTTCGCTAAAATTATGATAGTGTTTCATTGCGTTGCCTACTCAAAATATGTAAGCTTTATTACTGAAATTAAACCCTGTATTCGCAGTACATCTGCCAAATTACCTTAGTGTTAAAGACTTATAATTGATATCAGCTAATCTCTGCAGACAATTATCATTACAGTGTCTTATACCTACCTGCCGTACCTGGGAGCAAATCTTGATGAGCAACTGTAACTTCCTAATAGAAACTGGTTACCAGTACTGGTTACCTAATAGATGCTGGTTACCATTTTCCAGTGCCCCCCCTCATTATCTGATTAAGTATTTAAGGTATCAAGCATGTGCGCTACTGCTATTTGCTGAGCTACTACCATTTACTGTGCACCAGTATCTTACCATGTTTAAAATTTGCTTTATGTAAGCTCATTTGTTGATGTACTGATCAGTTACGTTTCCACCAGTAAATGTAATGTTATCTAACCATTTGTTAGGAACTGAGAACCTGCAGTTCCCCGGTTCCCGATATAAAAGTGTAACTTTTCAGTTTGGTCTTTTCTTGTATTAAACGGGTTTAAAGTCAAAATGGACAGAAAGTGTACAAATGGTCACTTTGTCCTAACTTTGTCCTAATTTAACTTCAAACTTTCAATGATTTTGTCACCATCTATATATGTTAATTTTGTCTCCTTTAGCATCGACTAAACCACAAATTCGGGCTCTATTTCAGTAATGTGCAGTAAAAGGACCTACATTAACCGTAATGTTTAATCATGGGCATATTAACCTAAAAACTGTTATATCATAATCAGAGTAGTAGCTACTTAAACAAAATTTTCACACTGTGTGACTAACTTACAACCAATAAAATGTAAACTTGTTGTCACGTGAACAGTTTTAGGCTTCTTTGAATAAATGATTTAGCTTTGCCCTCGCATAACATCAGTGAAATGATCTGACAACACCTTCCTCCATTGGATCACTCCCACTCCCCTGCAAAACATGTATAACTATATAAATAGTCTGTGTGAACAGTTCGTGATGCTTAGTAAGGGCCGCTGTTCAGTAATTTCTATCCTTCTTTCGGGCTGGAAGAATCGACTTTCTCTCTCAATATATTCGCCTTATAAAATTCAGGGGCCCCCTGACATGGGGTGGCTAACAACTTCACCGAATTAAACCCAACTCTGACAGAGTGAACAGCTTGACAGGTTGCTCGCCTTAAAAAACTATAGACAGTAACCAGAGTAACCATCATGTGTATTGTGTAACCATGGTAATCATGGTCACTTTTCTGCCCTTGATTGAAGTGAACATGTTTGATGAGGGCATAACAAAGGGTATTACATTTTTCATTGCCTTCTAAAGCTTACATTAACAAAACTTGTTGTCTTGTGACCTTTCTTTTATTGGCCTGCGTTTGCTAATCTTCTTGCTAATTCCCTTACTTGCTCCCGTTAACCATACTCTGTTTAACATCCATACCTGCACTTGTTGAAAAAAGGTTTTATTCCAGAAAACTTTGTCCTTGATCATGCTGACCACCCATTCAGACTATGTAGTACTATGTTTTGTACCACATCTGGTGATTCCTGTGATAGCTCTAAGCAATCGTTAGCACACCATAGCTATAGGACCAGAATATAACGTTTTATCCTGTGTCACATACATATCTTTGGAATTTTATCTCCGGTTTAAGGTATCAATCTATGGTAACATTACAAAGAGATTGGTAGAGCAAGACCTTGACTTTTAGTCCGCTATCTAGATCTTAATGACGGGAACTTAAAGTTCAAAACCGGCCTACGGGGGTAGTTTAAATCCTAGAACTAATTGCAGGTATCATTATTACCATGATGACCCGACTATTGGTCCTTTATATTACAATACCTTCACTTATAGGTACTGAAGGATAAACCGGCTGCCATGGCAAGCAATACACCCCAAAAAAACGCCTCTTCTCATTTCGAGAATATGTACACGCAGGAGAACACACCAAGGAAGGTTCTAGATAACGTGGAGATACAGCCGAGTCACGTGCTACGTGAGCGAAACAGACACAGCGACATCTTCAACAGGGAGGAGGAGGAGGAGGGGGGGAAACCGGTTCCTGTTATCAGGTTTGTTTAAATATCTGACTGCTTATTATAAACATTCCTAGGTTCGTCATTTAAGTGTATATAATTGTTGTGTAGATCTGTTCACTGTATAGACTACAATGTAATTGTATAGACTATACAATTAATTTAGTAGTATCTTGATCTGTTGTATAGATTTGTGATATAGATCTACTTCTTAAGAGTGTATTTGCACAGTATTTGTAGATTCGTCCGGGAGTGTGAGTAAGAATGTCCGGGAGTGTGAGTAAGAATGTCCGGGAGTGTGAGTAAGAATGTCCGTGAGTGTGAGTAAGAATTTCCGTGAGTGTGAGTAAGAATTTCCGGTAAAGTGAGTAAGAATATCCGGGAGAGTGAGTAAGAATGTCCGGGAGAGTGAGTAAGAATGTCCGGGAGTGTGAGTAAGAATGTCCAGGAGTGTGAGTAAGAATGTCCGGGAGTGTGAGTAAGAATGTCCGTTAGTGTGAGTAAGAATTTCCGGGAGTGTGAGTAAGAATGTCCGGGAGTTTGAGTAAGAATGTCCGGGAGAGTGAGTAAGAATGTCCGGGAGTGTGAGTAAGAATAAATTTGATAGATACTATTGTACACAGTTCTAAAAATCTTGTGTATTGAAACTATTTTGAAACTTATATCGTGTCTGGCGTCACTTCATTGCAATTAAAACAAGTTGAATTACATTCCGTTGTCATAGAAAACACTTTTCACTGGTCATGGTGAACGCTAATCACGTGACTTTTATAACATAGACACGTGACTTGTGTTTAACATTAGTCAGACTGCGTTTCGGGTTTACACAAAAATAGATACAGTAAAACCCCGATATACCGCGGACCTTGGGGAAAGGGAAAACCTGCAGTAAATAGGGGTTTTAGTTTTGGGGTCCGAAATAAGGCCCGAAATAAACTGTTCGATAACTTTATTAAACTTAATATCTTTACTTACCCAGCTTGTATCAAATTTCCTATTTCAAGATAATAGTAACTTCAAAAAGTTGTAGATTTAAAAAATCTTGAAAGTAGCTATTTTCGTTGTTAATGTAAATATAACATTATCTAAAATTGTAATTCCAGGTCTAACGATGCCGCTAACGACTCAGCAAGAGTTCAGTACAAGGCGCGTCAAGAAACCAGTAATGTTTTCGCTCAAGAGCAGAACGCACCACCTCCAGCACAGGCTGAGAAACCACACAAGATCTCTAACGTGTGCTTCTAATTTGAGAGGGCCGGGATTGTGGAGTAGAAATATATTTAGCTTACAGTATTATTTTCTTAGCAAAGTTATCTCAAAACTTAGTAACTACAGACATTTCAAATATGTAGAAATATCAGTGACCGACTTCAAAAAATCGTCCAGCTTCGGGATCACTGTCGGTCACTAGGAAATATGTACAGAATTAGAATGGTAGTTTATTGTAAATATAGCGCAAAAGCATTTTGATATTATATGTATTAAATATTATTCGATATAATATAATCAAATATGAAAGTTTGAATGATTAGCAGAATATTTTTGGCTGACTTCGGACAATTTGAGTTGTTGATTTCAGGGTCATTAAGTTGTCATTTTTCTGTAAGTTGCTAATTTTTTTCATAGCCCTGTAATGTATACTATTTCTTTTGCAATTGTAAATTGTTACAGAGGTATTGTCCTTAATAGTAATACATCTTTAAATCTAGATCTAGACTCTAGAGATGAACTTTCGTACTAAGAACTTTTCTACTTTGTTGTTTTGGAGTCGGTCGTGAATTTAGCAACATTATAATGAAATAATGTAATGGTAACGTATCTGTCATGGTAACGCATCTATACATTTCTTATAGTTGAAATAAATGTACATTTAATGATTATAATTTTAACCATTTTACGCGTTTCCTTTCGAATAATTTTAAATCCATTCAAATATAAACATTTTTGAAAATAAAACAACAAATCATGTGCTAGGTATGTTATAGATTTTGATTCTGTGAGAGATGAAAATATTTGGTTCTGACACGTGACAACGATTAACCAATCAGCTTTTAGTATTGACCAATCAAAACTCAGGATCACGGTCACGTGTTAAACAAATATGGTTCACCTTCCCACTATCCAGTTCTATAAATAATAAAGTTACCAGGATTAGAATTCCTTCTTGGAACCAACAAGTATCCAGTATCCTGAATTTATGACCGACGGCCTATATTTTTTAATTTCATAAATTTTTTCCCCAGTTCCAATATCAGACATTGTCTATGTAATATTATTTATATAATATGAGTTGTCAGCATTTAAAAAAATTTGTGCTATTTATGATATATTTTAGTTTGATTTTTGTTGATTTAAAAGTTTAAAGTTTTAACGCAAGATACTAAGCTGCCAAATTTTTCATTTGGGACCGCTCACATAATACGTCAGCAAGATTTTGGTTCTGCGCCTAACCCCCCTACACATCGCCCTACACCTCGTTTGCTGACTTACTATGTGAACCCTCCCAGATTACATAGTTGATTTATTTATTAAGTTATTATTAAATATTGGAATATTATAGACATTGGCACAATTGGTTAGTTCTACCTTACTCGGGATTATTATGACCGGGATAAAGTGGCGGGTTTAGGGTAATTTCGCCATATTTTTCCCGAACCACATTTTCACCGGTCGTTAATAAACCCGCCGTCTCAGCTTTTAGGGTTCCCAAGGGGTATGGGTGCTCATATTTTAATCGTTGTCTTATATTCACTAAAGAAGACTATTGGGACACTTGTTGTAGGTTTTTCGACTTCATTTGGTTAAAATTGCAAAAAATTCACCTTTTTGCCCAATTCTTGTCATATATCCTTATTTTCAAAGTTGATTTAAATAGGCCAATTTTTAATTTCTTAGGTATTGACTATCTCTACATAATGAAATAGGACTCAAAGTAAAAGTAACAGTTAAATTAAAACTTGAATTAATTAAAACTGTCGATAACATGAATCAGTTTCATCAGTCATTTATTCATAATTCTAAAAAATGTGAACGATGCATTCTTTCGAAGATTTTCTACAAATGGAGTCATAATGGTTATTTGATACACAAGTTTTAGCAATGCGAAAATTTCTAAACTTGCTTATCTCTAATAAGGAAATTTACATCTGAGACAAAATTTTTGAATCTAAAATTGAAAGGTTGGACAGTGGACACCGGTAAAATGGCGACCGGGAAAATGTGGTGGGTTTTGAGCAATTTCGCCATATTTTTCCCGAACCATATTTTAACCGGACGTTAATAAACCCGTCGTAATAATCCCGAGTAAGGTAGTTCTTGTCAATGAGAAATTATCCTTCACACATCTGAAGGTAGTAAAAAAGGCCCAAATTTGAGAAAGTCTGAGATTTCCTTGCACAGTAATACCCCGATTTACCGCTCCCAATTTTACCGCAAACACCCCCCCCCCGGCCCCCCCATTTACTGCGTCTGTTCTCCTTCCCCCCAAACTCGCTGGTAAATCCGGGTTTTACTGTGGTATGTAGTAGTGGTATGTAGTAGTGGTATGTGTAGTGGTATGTACCGTACTAATGTAAAGACAGAATATGTTTATATATTACATGTATTTTTGGTAGCATTAAACTGTAGTAAATAATTTATTGAGCTAGTTATCAACATTAGACAATAGACATATAATTACATAAAACTCTTGTTTTACTGTTGATCTGAAAAATAACAATAAGTATAAAATCTCACGGAAATGCTGAACTATCATAAAATCACTGGTACTGTGTCCATTTGAAAAGCTGATATCTACTCCATATTCAGTTGATACCAGCAAATATTTGTGTTTATATTTAGTTGACAAAGTTATTGTGTCCAAATGAATAAATAAGAAGTGAACTGTCAAGTAGGAAGTAATGGCCGGAAGAAAGAAGGACAAGAGACGGAGGAAATACTCATCATCTTCATCTTCCGACTCAGACTCTTCTTCATCAAGTAAGAATTCCTTCTTTCGGTATTTTACGTTGTAGAAAACTTAAGGTTCCCTAAATCCCTAATCTCAAGTCATAACTCATAAACATTCTCTATGATTTGAAGTCTTAAATCTGGCGCTTAGAATTTCGTCTTTATTTAATTGCCTGATATTTGACCCCCGGCCCCCCTTAGTTATAACTTTCCCCAGGCTCATCCTCAAGCTCAGGATCCTCCTCTGGTAGCAGCTCCTCCTCTCGTCCTCGTCAACAAACACCCAATGTCAGCACTCCTCCAATCTCACAAAGCTTGGACCCTGTTTCAGCTATGTTTCTAGATACTAAACCTGAGGATCTTATTGATCAGATTTTCATCATTCTTGACGAATCAGAGGTTTTTATTAACACTTTAGAGTTCAGTTTTGTTTTCAATTTCTTGTCTCGAAGCGTTTCTCTTCGTTGGATATAGGAAAATTCGATCAAAAAAGAATTGAATTCAGCTTTAATAGGTCTCACACTGTTATAAAACATATAAAACTCATTATTAACAGGTAAAAGATCTGTGTCCCACGATTATAAAACACATGAGTATAACCGACCTTAAAGAGAAAGCCCTCAGGTTTGTTGCTCTTTTAAATGTTTCTCTGCCATATTTTATTTAATCGACCATGGGCAGTTGAATGACCCTGAATGATTAAGAGCAACTTTTCGTTCGTATCTCGTATACGTACATCAAACAGCTGACTAACCAACATTAGCCTCATTAAAATCAATACACTGCACACGAAATTACATTATAAATGTCGTAAGTTCTCTCTTAATGTTGGGTGAAAGTGAGATATGTATCGCAACATTACCAATTACCATACTCTCAGCTGTATAAGAAGTCTGGACGATGCTGGGTTACAATCACTGTACGTCACCCAGGATCCGGACCCTGGGGCAGACGAGATAGACAAGGCCCTGATACAACTGGGACTGGTGGGTAACAACACCTCCATCCTGGACAGAGACACCAGCAAGTGGAGGACAGTACAGGAGGCCCCGCCCACTGTTGGCGGTTTATCTGATAACGAGGCGGGTAATAGTGGGGAGGCGGCAGGGAGCGATGGTGAGAAGGATGGTTCTATCTTCGAGGAGGAGGCTAAATCTTTAGGTGGGTTATTTAGCTTACAATCATTGGTGTTAGTTGGGGTTATGTTTTAGAATGTTTGGCCTGAATACAAAAGTTAAAAGTATAACTTTTTCCATAAAAATAACCGTTTAAATCGTTATTGTTATAGTATTGGTCTGGAATGTTGAAATATGTTAATTCCACTAATCTAACCCACCCCAGAACCCCCTCAACCTGACCTAACTAAGAGGAAACTTCTAGAAGACGCCCCACCGGAGAGTAGCGATGATGCAGAGTTGTGGAGGGCACTCCTCATGAAAGACAAGCAAAAGATAACCCGGGAGCTTGTCAGTACTGATGTTATCGCTAAAAATCTGAGCGACAAACCAATGGACTTTGTACCTCAGGAAACTGTGGTCAAGAGGAGAGGTGATGAGTTATCGGACCATGAAGATGAGTCAGGTAAATCCTCACCTAGGTCACCAAAGTCTCCGGATGAAGAAAGTCAACAGATTGGTAACCCCCCTCTTGCTGTTGGGAATCCACCTCTTGCTGAGTCACCTGGTAAGCCTAAGATGTCGTATCGTCAGCGTGCTGCAGCTGCTGCGGCGCAGGATGAAGATGAAGATAAGATCTCTGCAGGAGATCTGAGTTCTGGGGCTGGTTCTTCTGATTCTGAGTCCTCTAGTTCTGAAGAAGGCGAAATATCTGACGATGATGATGACAAAAAAAAGAATGAAGAAGGGGAGAAGAAAGATATCAAACCTGAATCTGACAGCGAAGAGAAACGCTCAGAAACACCTGAAAGATCAGGCTCTGCCGATAAAAATTTAGATGAGAAGTCAGATAGTGAGCGGGACAGATTTAGTCCTAGGAAAGACTCAGAGTCAGAACAGAATGAATCAAGGACAGAAAATGAGAAAAATGAGGATGTTTCTAAGTTGTATGCCTTGTGATACAGATATTTTGTAATATTTAAATTTTTAAGCTTTTGAGGTTAAGTTGATGAACTGTTGACATTTTAAGGTTTGGTGTGACAGTATTTGCTGAGCTAAGCTAGCTGTGAATCAGGTGGTTTATAAATAATCAAAGTAACATTAATTTGGCGTAACTTGGGGAACTTTTCTTCAAACTGGTTACATGAGTTTTTTAAAGATCATTCTATAAAGTGGTGTAAGTATCATTTTACAGAAATTCTCGACTATACTTCAAGGGTTTTTATTTACATACCCCACATAATATTTGTGGGAGGCGAAGCCGAGTATATTGTTTTGACTATTAACAGCGTGAGGACCAGTTGCAGTGAAACGTCCCAATAACTGGCACGTGTTAAAACAAATTCGCTCCGTCTTTTTAGTTTAAGTCGATCTTGTGGTGTAATTTATACAGAAGAATAAATACAATATAACTTAATTTAGCAGATATCCCATGTTTAACTTACCTTCATTACTGTAATATGACGTATTTTGCATTTAATTTCCAATAGACGCTCACTTTATTTTACAAAACTTGTGTATTACTGTCGTTATCAATTATGAAAAAGTCTACAAATATTATTATAAAGGATACATTATAATTAATTAAATAGCATATCTTGTTTTAAATAGTAGTCCAACCTTTTATCTTCCCCCGTCTTTAAAGTTTTTGACAAGCTTGTCTGAATCTATAAACTGTATTGCAACTACTGCTCAAATAAATTATTACGAATTTTAGCGTTTAATCTCTATTATAAATGGGGTCTAATGGATTAACAGAGTCTGCCTCCGATCTGGAATTCAAAAGGGACGGCAACTGTCACGAATTGAGTGTTCAAAAAGAATACTTTGCAAAAATAAAAGACGGGACCAAAACAGTTGAAGGACGTGCTGGAAAGATAGACACAGAAAACGATATCCACGAAAATTACAGAGATAAAGAGACAAACTTTAAAGTAGGTCACACAGTCAAATTCATGATATCAGGACACTCAGCTGACTCTGAGAGTGTGACTTGTGAAATAACGAGGGTTGAGTTCCATGAAACATTTGAAGAAATGTTAACTAAAAGTGGTCTCAGTACATGTTTACCTGGTATTGGGAGTATGGAGGAGGGTGTTAGGATTTACAGGAGTTTTAGTGGTTACCAACAAAGAGAGAACATGTACGGGGTTGTTGGGATTCATCTTCGAGTTATAACTTAGTGTTAATACAGCTAGATACTGGACACTATCTTATCAGATAACTTAGTGTTTACAGCTGGACACTTTCTTGCAATTACTTCAATTAGTTTTTAAAGAAGATCAAGACGTTATTGATTTAAATCATGGTTTTAATTGCCTATGGGAGTAATTGCTTTATACTTTTATACAATGCACAATGTAGATACTATATTCAAATATTTGTTCTCTCTTATATGATATTTTGTAACAATTTAATGTTTAAACTCATTCTATCTGCTCAGAAAAGCTAACATGTCTGCAAAGATCCTAAACTTCAACACAGACTTTACTGCTTTTCTCAATGGAACAACCAGACACGTGATCAAAGTGGTTACTGACAATGAGGTTATTGAATGCAGTGGTGTTATCTTATCACAGCACAGTAAAACTTTGAAAAAGATGTGTAGAGAAGATGAGGAGTTGTTTTTGCTCGGATATGAGTCAGTGGGCGATATTCTAGCAGTTCTTCATGGTGGTTCTGTTATTCTGACACTTGAAAACTGTCTAGAAATGATAAAGTTCGCTTGGGAGTTCGGGGTCCCAAATATAGCCGAGCAAGCGTTCAATTTCATGGAGTCTATCGCTAATAAAACCAACATTGTCCCTTTGACAAGAATGTGTTTGACAGCCACAAAATTGAGCGGGTTTTATGATGTAAAAACCGAAGAAGATGTATTTTGGCCTTGTGAAGACGTTATCAAAAACCTCGATACCGATGAGATGAGAGAATTTGTTCAAAACTTTCAGCCTAAAGAAATTGTACGTATGTTTAAGAACACTGTAATCATATCCAAGGTTATATTGCCATTATCAACGATGGTAAACGTTGATAACGTGAAGGAAATCGTTAGGATACTTCAAGAGATAAATTATGCTGATTTGGTGTCCGCTGCTTCTTCTTGCTCTAAAGAGAGTGCTGCTTTGCTATTTGAGGCAATAGAGGCTCATAATATTCCTGCAAGCTCAGTAAAGTTTTTGCTGAGTCTAAAAAAGCTATTTTTTCGTGAGATTTGTAGTTCCATGCTAACAGTAGCTGCTTTATCTTCGAATGTCGATGTGATCCGTCGGAATTGGAAATCCTATGATGCCACTAACATGTTGCGGATATCTGAACAGATAGAATCGAGTTTTATCTTGGTGGAAACTATCTTGTCTTGGGTTTCTTATTTCAAACCTGATGAAAAATTCGTCAAAAGGTTATGCAGGAATATAGATCCCAAATTTCTTTCTTTGGACTACACAAAACATGCTATTTGCATCTTTAAGAATTTAGGGTTTGATATTTCCTTTCCCCTTAATAGATGTATAATACGTCTTGACGAAGATAAAAAAGTAATCGTTTGTGGGGTCAAAACCACCCTCAACAAAATGGAAAGCAGCAATGTTATATCTGTTTTAGAAAAAGAAATACGATTCAATTGCAATTACATCAATCGCGATGACAAACATGTATGCGTTGATCCACCATCAAAGTTGATTTTCAGACCTTACAGAAATGAGAGGGCTGATTTCAGGAATTCTTCCTTGTTTGTGTACGCTAAAACATGTGGGCGAAAACACGTACCATTCTATACTGACCCAAAATTGGCTGCCAATATGGATTATGATTTGAGCTCTATCAAACTGACCAGGCTATCTCCTTTCCAGCCTGAATCATCTAAAACTTTTCAGTCAAAACGAGCAATTAGTCTAGTCATTTATGGACATTTATGGAAATGAACCTGCAAATTTTCAGATACTCACGAAACTTTGCACAGACCTTCCCAAAGGTATGAATAAACGATTTTCGGTTGGAGACTTTTTTTTACCGTGGGCAAAACCCAGGAGGGCCACGCCCATATTGACCCAATAACATAACTGACCCTTTGCTTCTGAAGGTCGTAGAGACTTCAAAATAGGCTTAAACGAAGCCGCATATGCATGTTTATATAGAATTTATTGATATCAACATATGGCCTAAAATCCTTACTTTTCGAGAAATTCGCCGAAAACCATTTTGGGCGTGGCGCTGAGCCCATTTTACTAAATTTTGATAGGATCGTGATAGAGTCTTCGAAAAGAGTTTAAAATAACCGCAATTAGCATATTTATATATAACTTGCGAAGAAACATATGCCTTAAAGTGCTTACATTTTCAGTTATTGGCGAAAAACTGATTTTCGGTTCCAGAAATCATGCAAAAATATGGGTATCTGGTAAATTGGGCTATGAGGGCCCTAGAGATCTTAGAATGAGTGCAAATTGTGCAGAATGGCCATGTTTATATACAACTTATAGATATGCTAATTGTGGTTCTTTTAAACTCTTTTCGAAGACTCTATCACGATCCTATCAAAATTTAGTAAAATGGGCTCAGCGGCTAGCGCCACGCCCAAAATGGTTTTTGGCAAATTTCTCGAAAAGTGAAGATTTTAGGCCAATAACTTCTATATAAACATGCATATGCGGCTTCGTTTAAGCCTATTTTGAAGTCTCTACGACCTTCAGAAGCAAAGGGTCAGTTATGTTATTGGGTCAATATGGGCGTGGCCCTCCTGGGTTTTGCCCACGGTAAAAAAAAGTCTCCAACCGAAAATCGTTTATTCATACCTTTGGGAAGGTCTGTGCAAAGTTTCGTGAGTATCTGAAAATTTGCAGGTTCATTTCCATAAATGACTGGACTAAAAACTAACATAATAGTTTGTATGCTTCTAGGGAGCTGTGATCTTTAGTTCGGAGTAGAACTTTTACAATGTTGAATGTTGAATGTTGAATATTTAATCATACTACCCAGTAATTGGTTTAAAGTTTAATTTATTATTATGTATATTAAAATATTATGCAATATTCTATACTCATTTTGCTGGCAATATTAATAATATTATACAATCTGCAAAATAGTTTAGGGCATGTTCCGCGTGTAGTGCAGAGTTTGTGGTTATTCCAGCATTTTAAATTATTGATTTATCTCAATAATGCACACACGTTTTTTATGAACATTTTTTATTTCAATGTGTATCTCCGTACTGACTATATGTATATAGTGCACAGATTTAGAAATTGTTGGTAAGGTCAACCAATCAAAATACAAATAAAAAATATCCAGAGTACCTAACTAAACGTTTCGAGTAGAAATGCCATACGACCCTTTATAATTACAATAATTAAAAATCTCGACCGCCAATTCTGAATCGTTGCACTATATTTTTAAAAATATATAATATTCAATAATTAATTAAAGTTTTTAATTTATATATTATTTTATAATTTTGTACCTCAATTATTACGTTAACTCGACGTAATTTATTTTTAGCCAAGTTTTTAGTTTAAATATTATGCAAACATTTATTTCGTAAATTTGTAACCGTTCGGTAACTTTATAACCATTTTAATAGCATTGCTTCTGTTGATCTAGTTAAATTTTAGATCTAGATTGTATCACTTATAATACAATTTTCATAAATTCAACTACTTTCATACGTTCTCAATTACGCGTTTGATTTATAATTAAAATATGACAGTAAGGATCATAAATGTGGAGAAATAGAAACATTTCCCCCTAAAAATCTATAATCATACCCTTGTAATTGTCTTTGTTTGTTCAATATTCATAGATGACAATTTAAAAACAAACAATTTAAATTTAACAATCTCCCTTCCTCTCAGTTGCATGTAATGAACACCAAACAGCAGATAGCAGCTGGAGCAACCCTAACACTCGGAACAATATTCTTCTTCTACATCTACCAAAAATTCAGCTCCAACAAGTCCGACAAAACCAGCAGCTCAGCAACTAAACGGAGCGCTGCTCGAACTCTCCTCTCCAAGTACAACCCCAGACCCACTGCCCAGGACATCCAGACAGACAATGAGTTCCAGGGGAGGGTAGTGAAGAGTAAAGTTAGTGAAGGTGGGATTGTGTATCATGATATTAGATACCCTAAACCAGACGAGCAGGAGGAGCACGCTCCGGAGGTAGCTTCTGGAGTTAGCGACCAATCAGGACAAGAACTAGCCTGTTGTTCCACAGAAACCCAGCCTGCTCAACCAGCTGACTCTAGAGATAATGAGCCTGAAACGGAGATATCTGAACCTCAGTCAGTGTCAGTTGTTGAGACTGAGCTCATACCTGACACTACACCTGATATTCCTGTAGTGGCTGCATCTTCTGTTAGTGAGGTGGAGAATACCCCACATATCCCGCATACCCCACAAACCCAACAGAAATATAATCAGAATGGAGCAGATAAGATTAATGGTGACTCTACACCTAACACTGAAGCAGAACCAAGCTCAGATGCCACAAACTCCGTGCCATCCACCTCAAATGATACCCTATCAGACACTATCGTGAGGAATGGCGTGGTTGGAGGTCTGGTCACTACTGAGGAATTCGTTAGGAATGTTGTCAGGTTCGTTACTATTTACAAACCTTTTTTACAAAAACTCTTTCACTGAGCTTATTCCTAGTCTATTTTGTCATGAATTCTTTTTATGATGGTGTATAATTTATATTGGCTGTCGGCCAATATAAATTGGCTGATGTTGCTTTTAAAACAATAATTTGCTTTCCACTATTCATCTTGATACAAATTAACAGAGCTAAAGATAAAGTAGAGATGGAAAGAAGAAGAGACAAAACAGAAACAATCGAGCAGATATTCAACATTCCTTCTAAAGCTGTGGGTAAGAACATGATGCTTCTAGTTTTCTTTCCCTCATCTCATTCTGTGTTGCCTTTACAGGGCTATATTTAAACTACATTAAACTATATTTCCTCTTTCTCAAGTACCAACCATGTTCATCGTGCTCTATCACACAGTTCGGTTATCTTAAATTATTCCCTGGCACTTTATGGCAATTGTCAATAAATAGTTTTCATCATTCAGTTGTCAGTAACTAACCCCAAAAACCTGTACAGGAAAGATAATAGGAAAAGAGGGTCGGAGTATAAAAGCTATACAGCGTGATAGTGGTGCTAAACTTAAGTTCCCTGGAAACAGGGACAGATCAGCGACATTCCAGAAATTGTTTGTGTTCGGTACACTTAGACAGGTAAGCTATTTCGTGCATGTTCATTAACTGTTTCGTGCATGTTATAGTGAGATTGTATAATCTACTTAATCTTAATAATCGTGAAAAAACCGTGGGTGCGTGTGTAATGTACAAATAACTTAATCGAGAAAACAGTAAGAGTAAGGGTACTGGTTTTTTCGGTATAGTGCCGACAAAACTCTGAGTAAAACGAAACAGGTTTTCACAAATTGGCCGGCGGTAAGTGGTTTAATTGATGGTAATGATATTATAAAATAAATAAATAAATAAATAAATAAATAAAGTCAATTTTTACAGCACAGCAATATATATCTAAATATCAGATCCTCTGTAATCATAATGTATAAAAAAAGGAGCTTTTCTCTGTGCTGAAGGATGAATCAAGGCAGATCATGGTTCTGTTAGCAGGCCACCCTAGTTATGGACAATACATATATATAAAATAATTAAATTATAATTTTAAAATTGTGTCAAGATTGAACTAAAACATAACTCAGGGTAAAATAGACGTATTCCCTTCGTCAAATTAACTATTTACAATACTAAACTTAAACGAACTCCGGGTAAAATAAACGTAATCCCTTTGTCAAACTTGCTATTTACAATAAGTTAATAAATTAATACGGTTGAAAATTATTTCATATTCAATAACAATGTAGCATCAATATAATTGATACAAATGAGGAGCATACAGTGAGAATTGCACATAACAGGAGGACTGGAGGTATGGAGCAATAATGATTGACAGTGCACCTTTCCACTGATGTTCCTAATTTCCTGTAATAGCTTAATAGGCATGGAAATACTTTGATTGCAGGGGATAGATTGGATTCACTTATGTACTGAGATAACTTAACCGAAATAACATAACTGCCTAGATACATTGGCTAGTGTTGGGTGGGATCATGAATTTATCGTAAGAGTTATCCCCTTGGTAATTCTCATCAGTTAGCAACATATTCATAAGAGTTTCTTTGTATAACTTAGAAAATTTCTTAACGTCGTCACACTCTCTAAGGGACTTTGGTAATATGTTCCAGGCCTTAGTTCCTAGATAGTTAAACTCCTTGTGAGATCTTGATTTAGGAGTATAAAGATTGCAGTTTTCTGCCTCACGTGATCCACCAGAAATATACGAGAATTTCCCGATAAAATGCTTTGGACATGTTTCATTGATTATACGGTACATATATGAGCTAAGATGAACCTGTCGTCTCAAATGGAGAGGAAGCCATCCCATATTTTTGTATACATTAACCGACCTCTCTCTGATGTTTACATCTAGGGCTATTTTAGCAACCTTTTTGTACATGATATCTAACTCTCCTAGTCGTTTTTTATATGTTCTTGACCAGATGGTGTCTAAGTAGTCAAAATGTGGCAACATAAGTGCATTAGCAAACATCTTCCTGAACTTAAGAGGGAGAAGTTTTTTTGATCTATACATAGCACCAATTCTTTTGGATATCTTTTTCTTAATGTTATCAATATGTTCATTAAATGTCAATCTGCTGTCAACTATAAGTCCAAGGTACTTATGGGATTTAGTTTCACAGATTACCAAAGTAAGGTCATCACAAATTTCAACAAGGATGGCATCAAGGTTAGGCTTAGAGTCAAGGATCATTAGTTTTGTTTTTTCATTATTCAGGGATAGTTTATTAGCCTGAAGCCATCTGATAACTAATTTCAACTCTTGTTTGATGTTACCATAGTTTCCTCTAGATATATTGTCAAAATATAATGCACCGTCATCAGCAAATAGATAAGGTTTAGAAAATAGGCATGCATTAGGCAGGTCATTGATAAAAATGCTGAATAGAATTGGTCCTAATATACTTCCTTGAGGCACTCCAGAGTTCAATGAATGTAAACTGCTTATCCTACTCCCAACTCTAGTTTGCTGTAATCTATCTGTGAGGAAGCTCCTAAACCAGCTCAATGCAGTATCTTTTATTCCATAATGCTTCAGCTTTTGAATGAGAATATCATGGTTAACAGTATCAAATGCCTTTCTGATGTCCAGGAAGATAATTGCAGGATGCTTGGCACTGTTCTTAGCAGTAAATATACGATCAAACAGATCTAACATGAGATAAGTTGTAGAGTGATCTTTACGGAAACCATATTGATGCTCTGAAAGTATTCCCTTTTCATCAAGATATTGAGTCAGTTGGGAGTTCACACAAAATTCGATGCACTTTCCAAGAATCGGTAAAATTGAGATTGGTCGATAATTACTAGGATTCTCAGTATCACCATCCTTATGGATTGGGGTGACTTTTGCAACCTTGCAGCTGTTTGGCATGATGCCACTGGATAAACTCAAATTTACAAGATGTGTTAATGGAGCAATAAATGCAGGTAAAATTTGTCTAAACACTCTCAATGGTATATGATCATTAGTGGATTTGCTACAAGGGATACTTGCCACATAGTCTAAGATATTGGACTCAGTTATTTCAGTAAAGCTATTCAAGCTGGTCTCGTTGTCAATCTGCTCATTTTGTAGATAAGATAGAAATTCATTTTCATTTTCCAGCTGCACTTCTGCTTGGATCTTTGGACCTATTTCAGCAAAATATTTATTGGTGGTTTCAGCATCAAGATTGTTATTGATATTGTTAGCTTTAACAGGCAGATTTGATGCTGTCTTTATCGTTTTCCATACACCCTTTAGATCATTCATGGCACACTTGGCTTTCAGTTCTGTTGCTAAGTTAGTCTTCCTATTAATTCTAGACAAATAGGTTGAATAGTTTCTCTGCCGTTTATATGCCATCCATAATGAGTCACATTTATTACAGTGTATAAGACCATTTGGATGTATACGTCTGTTCTTGTTGTGTGTTAAAAATTTACGGTAAAGTTTCCCTTTCAATTTCTTACTTTCTAAAAATTCTGGAGATGGCTTATGGATGTAATCACTATGGCACTTAATTTGTTTAATTGGACAGAAGTGATCATAGTAGTGATCAATATGTTCGTTTAAACCATCAACTGCATCATTCAGACTAGTTGAATCTATTATTGGTCTATAATCACAGGTTTCCAAAAATTCTTTAAGAGCAGTAACATTCATTTTGCTGTGATCTCTTATTAGTAACTTCTTGAATTTTGAGGCCTTATGCACATTGAAATCGACAATGAACTTTACGACCTGATGATCTCCTATACAATCATCAAGGACTTTGCAGTCAAGAAACTTGGAGTAAGTGTTTGTTATGACAACATCGATTGTGGTCTTTGTGATTCTGTTTCCTAGTTTAGCAATGCGGGTAATATCCTGAACTACCTGTACCATTCCAAACATTTTCATTGTAATGTCTAATTTCTTATAGTTCATACTGCTGATGTTGTTTTGGTCTACATTTACATCACCCAGCCAAATAACATTCTTACTTCCTATACTCATCATGCAGTCTGTCATATAATCTAAAAATTTGTCAAGAGGACTAAACAACTCAGATCTGTAGAAACAGCAGATGAAAATATTGCAATCTGTAAGATGGATCCAAATAGCCTCGATTTGGTCATATTGCAAAACTAAGTTTAGTTGAATCATTTTAAACTTTATGTGCTCACTGATGAGAATGCCACATCCCCCATGACCATTGTCGTTAGGACGGTCTTTGCGGATAAAAGTAAAATTCTTGGGTAGGTTTAGACTGGCTGAGTCAATATCCGACTTAAGATTTGTTTCATTCAGGCATAAAACATCTAATTTCTCTTTCCAGATTAGATCTTGGATTTCAAGACATTTTGGCATACCTGTTAGTCCTCCCTGCATGTTGCAATGTCCCACTGCAAGCTTTTTGGCATGGTATGAAACTGTGATTTTACTAATGCACGGGTTAATGCAAGAACTGCTGTGAGAGCATGAAAATTTTTCCAATTTATGCTGCTATAAACTTGTCAGAATAAGATAAATTGCAGAACTGGCAAATTTGTATGAGATAATAACAAAACTTTCTAAAACTTCAATAAACATGAGGAACAATGTGTAATTATCCCTTATCTAGAATCTAGATGAAATAAATGTTAACAATCTTTCTGAAAATTCAAACTTGCTTATGGGCCCAATACTTCAGAAATTTAGCAAGTCGAATAACACCGCTTGTATTGAGGTGACAGTTATCAGATATTTTTGCAGATGGTCTGGCAAAATAAAATTCTTTCCTGAATCCACTTCTATTATAGTTAAATAAATTATGGGTGCTAATGTAATTAAAACAAGAATCTTTGCTACACATATCCTTAATAACCTTATTCAGCTCTGCCACAACATCATTGCGGCCTTTTGTACTCCTGGGAAGAATATTGAGAACATTAATTGTTGCATTCGGATACACTGACTTGAGATAATTTAAGAGATTACTAATGTCACCTGCTGCATCCTTCAGTGACTTTGAGCCAAAATAGACTGTGTTCACATTATTAGTTCCTGTCATAATATAAATAATAGATGGGGATGGAACGGAGTGTAGGTCAGTTTTTAGTTTATTTAACATTACTTTGGCATCAGCCCCAGGATAAAACAGTTTACTAGCACTAACAGTGGACGATGATAACTTGTCCGCATCAAGAAACCTGAACATAGAGCTGCTTATGAATAGGACAGACTTTTGTGAAGCTTTGGCTGGCTGTTTGCAAACTGAGAGTGCAGGTGAAGAAGAGTCTGTCAGTTTGTGTCCTGAATGAGGGATGGGTGGGGGCGGTGAACGCAGACCAAACTCAGTTGACTGAGTGATCCTAGGGGGCTTCATCAGTCTTAGGGTGATGCTGATCCGGGGTTCATCACACATTTCGTCTGGCAGTATCTCATGTTGAAAGTCAGCCTGAGACAATTTGGACATGATGAAGACATCTCCATGCTGAAGCTGCACAGAGCCCACAACTTCATTGCTGCCGTTTGATCTAATTTGCAGTGTTCTCGTCGCACCAAGTGAAATGGTTACAATATCAGAGTGTTCTACAATACATGATTCAGAATCGCTATGAGCTGGCATGAACTCTGCTCCAGTTTCATATAGATTGACGAGAATACTATTGTGTCTGAAATTGGGTAATATCACATTAATGTAGGAGCTGAGTTTAGCAAGGTAGGAATCATTGTGTACACTTTTTGGGTCATGTGTTGCACCTGAATACTCATAGGGAAAGTCACCAAAATAAACCGATTTCCTGTTTTTAAAACCGTGACTGAACTCAAGTTCTTCCATTAATAGATCAAGTGAAAATTTTGAGAATGGACCATCATCTAGTAGGGTAACTGGTTTCACTGGTGATGGGGAACAAGTTACAGATATATTCATTGGCCCCGGTGTTATAGGATCGTAGACAGGGGCAGGGACCAAGTTTGGATATTTGTCTCTGGGCTTAGGGGTGTTGATCCGTGATTCACCAGTAGCAGTAGATACAGGGAGATCAGACACATCATCCTCGTCTGCCATAACCTCGTTAACAACAATCTCACTGATAACAATCTCGTTTCCAACAACCTCCTGTGGAACAACCTTGTCCACGACATCGTTGTCAACAAACAAACTGTCCGATACAACATCTTCCACAACAATGTCATCTACATCAAACGCTTCTACTTGATTGATAACAACGTGTGACTGAGGGGTAATGGTTATGATCTCACATTCAATCTCCTCTGATAAGTTCGGCAGCAAATTTTCACACTTAAAACTCTGTTCTTGTATTTGAGTTTGATCTGATATGAGACTATCATTGTACTGAGCAATGAGATCACTAGTTCTGATAATTTCATTCAATAAAGACAACTTTTTTTCTAAAAAGTCAATCTTGATGTCTTTTGACAGACAATTGTTACAGTTCTCTGATTTTTCAGACTGGAATGAAAAGTTCAAATGTTCTAAAGGGCGCTCACAAAAGTGGAGACTAATGTCTGAGCTCTGATTATTTGACATAGTTATATTATCAAGAGTTCAATGTTCAGAAGCACAATAAACACTGTAAACGCAATACCTTCAGTCCAGATAGTAGTTTTGATGAGAATAGTTTTGATGAGAAGGAGGAGGATGAGTAATCTTCAAGTACACTCACAGCAGTCCTTTGCACGTCAACACTTACGCTCGTCTATCATATCTCATACCTCAAATTATTTGTTATATAGTAGTGTTGAAAGTATTAAAACTTTTTTAGATACATACCAATTGTAATCAACAAATTGAAAAATACTTTGCTGAGATTGCAAGTATTCAATCTCCCCCAACTTGTGCAGGTTGAAGAAGCTGTTGCACGTCTTGTAAGCCTTATGCCTGCTGATTCTATTTGTGCCGATCTTATCAACTGGACACCTCAACTCGCTCTATCAGGTGCAGATAATTATAATAGTAATTAAAAATTATACCTTGCTATCGTTTATATGTTGTATTGTATTACCGACTGTAGCTATCTACTGTAAACCATTAAATCTAAAGCTTCCTAACAACTTGTGTTTACAGGAGATTTGAAGTCGGTTGATTTGATAGAGAATACAGTCTGTATAGGACGAGTTACTCACGTCACATCCCCTGACTGTATTTGGGTTCAAATATGTCGAGGTGTAACCGGCACTGACTACCTCACTCAACTTGGTACTCTTACTGACAATATTACTGACACTCTTGGCAGGTAACCGGAAAGTTTCGTTGGGTGAAATGGCGGTTTGTTGATTCGTTTAGATTAGGTGTGCAGCTTATTTTAGCATAAAGGGTCTTCTGAGAACAAAATATGGAAGGCGCATTTGATGTTTTGCTGCGTGTGAACGTTCTGGGTGCGCGCGTACGTACAATTATGAACGCGCGCGTGTGGCAAACGCTTTTTTGGGTTAAATGATCGGTACCCTGAATACCACCCGATTCCAGGTAGTTTTGGAAACCTGATTCAGGTGGTGGACACTGTCCACCATTGCCTCGATAAGTAAAATAATCGTCGAACTTCGAAGGACAACTTAGTTTTACAAGCCAATGCATTCAACTGAGTGTGAATCAATTTCAAAGCATACTTTACGTGTGTACCGATCGACTCGATTATTCCGGTAGTTTCGCGAATAAGTGACAATCGACAGTAAAACTTTCCACTCCGCGTGAAATCGCGGTAAGCACCCTAGTTGAAGATTTTCGCGACCATCAAGCACACTTTTCACTGTGAGGAAATTTACAATTCTTAAGACCCTTTCAATCAAATATTTGAATTGTGTACCTCACTGTTAATCCCGCGTGTTACAGGAAGATCTACGATATGAAAAAAGCCCTGATACCAGTTAAGGATATCAAAGAAGGAACATCCTGCGCTGTTTTGTTGGAAAGCAGGGGTTACCGGGGCAATGTTATCTGTCCGGGCACGCCAGATAACGATGTTCATCAGGTCAGACTAGTGGACTTTGGGACTCCGCATTCCTTCACAGAACTCTTCAGACTTGAGTTAGTGTTTCTTAATTGTGTTAATCATGATTGATATGATATCCTAGTCCGATTTCGTGCTTTTAGTTTCTTTAATTTTGTTCACTTCTATAGGGATCGTGATGAAGATCGTAAATCGACTAAATCTCAAGTTTTTCAGTGCGTACTACTTTGCTATGCCAGCATTGGCGGTGAAGTGTTCTCTAGCACACATATCTAAAACTGAGGGAGATCCTATCTGGCCCGACGGTAAAATATTATCTTTTTCGTTCTCGAGCTCACATAAATAACTCTCGTTCTTTGAATGGATAAATACCTGATAGTTACGGTATTTTAAAGTTGAATTACACTCATTACTCACCAGGTGCTTCAAAGTATTTGGAGGAGTCTCTAGCCAACTGTTTTGTCAAAGTGAGGACTGTGACGGCTGGTCACGTGCCAAAAGTAGAACTTTACACTGAGTTAGGACCGAACAGCAAGGTTAGTAAAATCACCGGTTTTTGTGTAAAATCACTCTTTTTGTGTAAAATCACAGATTATTAAACTGATTACTGATTAAAAGTTTGTTTGGTTTATTCGAAAAATAACTATTGAAATGACTGCGTCTCATTGGGTTCATGGCTTTATGTATTGCGGTTTTATCCACTAAAAGCATTTTACATTCAACCATATTTTTTCCTCAGAATTCCGTTTACGTGAATCGAGAGTTGGTTTACGATGGTTACGCTTCCTGGGTCGAGTAAACTACACATCAACTCAACGACCCCTGAAACGTGGAATAATTTTATTACTGTGTGATCTTATATGGTTTTATTCTTTTATAATTAAGCTGATTAGAAGTGTTCTATTCGCGTACCCAATACCCATATTGTGAAAAAGCTGATATTTAGCCATGATTTTCACAAATAAAGCCAGTTGCAGTAGTCAGTACAAAGTCATGATTGTTTTGGAGTGAATTTTGGATATCTTTTTTAATGAATAATTTAATCATGACAACTGTTCACAATGGTGCTATATCTCCATTATAATTTTATTTGTTAATTATTTATTATTTTACAACATTTTTTATCCGAATTTTATTTTTTCCAAGTCATCTAAAGCGAACATTTTAAAAATTTCGTAAATTATATCGCCAACAGTCTTTAGAACGTTTTATTGTGCATTGAAATTTCATCGTTTTTTTTTCAATACTAACTACTTCCCTCTTTAGCATGTACATATGGCAGACAAATATTAAGGGTAGGATCATGTTGCCGCCATCTTATCAGATCACAGTGTTTACTGAGAAGAAATGACGCCACCTCAACATTACTGACGAAAATGAGGAGGTACAGTAAACCCAGATTTACCGCATAGCCAGATTTACCTCAAAGCCATATTTATCGCGGCCATTTTCTTTCATATACTAGGGCTTTGCAATTTGCATACAGCGTGAAAAATTAAAACACTGATTTAACGCCAACCCCGATTTATCGCGGCTGTTTGCTTTCCCCATACTCCGCGGTAAAACTAAATCGGGTTTTATATATTATATATTCTATAGCCGTACTTCTACGCAGCAGGTGTTGTTATAAATATATCTATCACCATTTTACTAACATCACAACATCAACTTTAACACAACTTTCCGCGAAAACCGTGAGAGATATACCTTTGTAACGTTTTTGGCTGGTCCGAATGTTTTTATTGCATTTAGACCAGTATGGAGAAATACAAAATTGGCCAAGGCCATAAGAACTTTAGGTCCCGAAATTTGAATCCCCGGAAGTGGTGTAAAAATCACAGAATAAATACATATTGGGTATAGGTTTTAATAGGTATCTATGGGGTTGGCCACCACTTTTGGGTTAGACGGGTTTCTGCTAACTTGTAATTATAATACACAGCAAGAATTATTCAGCGAATTGTTTGATCACGCTAAATTTTGTTTGCTCCAAAGCATGTATAGTGAGCATTTCCGAAATCCTGTCAAATAAAAAAGGATTGAATTGTGGTAACGGCCAACCAAACATTTTAAATGCATGGCTATGAGAATTCCATTGCTTTTAATGACACCAGGAAATTCTCTAGCATGTCCAGTCCCCATCCCAATAGTGCTATACTCCGCCGTCTTCGAGAGAAACAGCAAACTCAGCAAACCAGGATCCACGTTGAGCCAACTGAGGTGTTCGAAATACCCGAGGATAAGTGTGGTCTGGTGATTGGTAAACGAGGATGTAAAATCCAGAAAATTCGGTCCGAAGCAGGAGTTGGTGTTAATCTTTGGGATAGGAATTCAGCAGTTGATGGTATGATGAAGGTTTATCTGTGGGGAGACAAAAAAGGGTGTGACAAAGCCAAGAAGATAATTATGAATCTAATTTCTGAGTCAACTGAGGTGTTCGAAATACCAGAGGATATGAGTGGCATAGTGATTGGCAAAGGAGGATCTAAAGTCAAACAGATTAGATCGGAAACAGGAGTAAGAGTTAGTCTTGGGTCTCGGGACTCAGCACTTAATAGTATGATCAAGGTTACCCTGATGGGAAACAAAGAGGGCTGTGACGAAGCAAAAACGATCATTATGAACCTAATTTCTGTGGTTATTAAGGTGTTCGAAATACATAAGGTGATGAGTGGCGTATTGATTGGCAAAGGAGGATCGAAAGTCAAACAGATTCAGTCGGAAACAGGAGTAACAGTTAGTGTTGGGTCTAGGGACTCAGCAGTTGGTGGTATGATCAAGGTTACCCTAATAGGAAACAAGGAGGGCTGTGACAAGGCAAAAAAGGTTATTATGGATATAATTTCTGAGCCAACTGAGGTGTTCGAAATACATAAGGATATGAGTGGCATAGTGATTGGTAAAGGAGGATCTAAAGTCAAACAGATTCAGTCGGAAAACAGGAGTAACAATTAGTGTTGGGTCGTGGGACTCAGCATTTGATATTAAGGTTACCCTAATGGGAAACAAAGAGGGCTGTGACGGAGCAAAACAGATTATTATGAATCTAATTTCTGAGGTATTTGAGGTGTTCGAAATACATAAGGTTATGAGTGGCGTAGTGATTGGCAAAGGAGGATCTAAAGTCAAACAGATTCAGTCGGAAACAGGAGTAACAGTTAATATTGGGTCTTGGGACTCAGCAGTTGATGGTATGATCAAGGTTACCCTGAAGGGAGACAAAGAGGGCCGTGACGAAGCCAAGAATATTATCTTGGAATTAATTTCTGAGCAAAGTGAGGTGTTTGAAATACATAATGATATGAGTGGCGTAGTGATTGGCAAAGGAGGATCTAAAGTCAAACAGATACAGTCGGAAACAGGAGTTAGAGTTTATGTTGGGTCTATTAATTCAGCATTTGATGGTATGACGAAGGTCGTCCTAAGGGGAAACAAAGAAGGATATGACGAAGCGAAAAGGATTATCATGGAACTAATTTCTGAGCCAGTTGAGGTGTTCAAAATACCTGAGTATATGATCGGCGTAGTGAAGGGTCAACAAGGATCTAAAATCCAGGAAATTCAGTCCGAAACAGGAGTTAGAGTTATTGTTGGGTTTTGGGACCCAGCAATTGATGGTATGATCAAGGTTACACTGATGGGAAACAAAGATAGCTGTGAAGAAGCAAAGAAAATTATCTTGGATTTAATATCTGAGCCAACTGAGGTGTTCGAAATTTCAAAGAATATGATTGGTGTAGTGATTGGTAAAGGAGGATCTAAAGTCAGAGAGATTGAGTCTAAAACAGGAGTTACAGTTAGTGTTGGGTCTAGTAATTCAGCAGTTCTGTTTGATAGTACGGGCAAGGTTTACCTGTGGGGAGATAAAGAAGAGTGTTCCTTTGCAAAGAATATTATCTTGCGTCTAATTAATAATATACCACATCCATATGATATACCATTAGATGAGTGGGATGACGACAATGATGACTACTACGAACTGTCCTGTGATCAGTGGTTACTCAGTGGTTACTGTTTTGATCCCTATGAGGAATATTAACAGAGTTACATTCAATACTAAGGAAGAATAACTCAATTATCTTTGCGAGAGGAATTTTTTATCTCAGTTTCATTTTTTCTTATTCATTTGTAGCGAACATTACCGAAATAACAATCATTTTACTTAGCTAATTTGTTATTCATTTATAGCAAAAATTACAGAAATAACAATGATTTTACTTAGTTAAGATTTTATTGAAAAATAAGTATATTATTATCTAATTTTTGAATGATTTTTAACTTTTTTAAATATAAAATGATTATTGTGGCCTTTATAGCTCAGTCACTGAGTGCCCGATTGAGATAATTCTTTCTGGTATTATGACTTTCTTTCGCCACTCATTCGAGGGATATATTAAATAAAAGAATATGTATGTTAAAAATTTTTTCGAACGAAGGTTTATTTTCGCAATATTACGTAATCATGGCCTGACCCCCCCCCCCCCCCCCCCCTTGACGTTTTTTTCCTAGAAAACACTTTTCTCTACGTTTCATGCTACCCTGGCCTGATCATACTATCATGATGAGCAGAAATCATTGTTATGATATCCGGCCAAGCAACTTCTAAACTACTTACTATTATAGTCGGATATTCGATCAATTTCTAAATTAAATCACTATCAGAGTGAAATTGGGTGGAATTTAAATTAAAATATTGTCAAATTGTTAATATTATTCTAGAGGGTAAAAAAGAAAATTGTGATTACGTAATCAACGACAAACCCCCCCCCCCCCTCCCCTTCCCCCCCCCCCCCCCCCCCCCCCCCGTAATCAATCGTAAGCATTTGAAAACCCCCCCTCGGCTTATTACGTAATATGTGAACGACCCCTAATATATCAACATAAACAGAATGCTTGATAACTTCGTTATTTCAAATCCGTTTTGCCTCATTGCAAAAATTAGTTATCTACAGTATCTGAAAATATGGGACATCCAGCATGTTCGGAAAGAGCAATATAGGTGATTTAATATTGAATGGGCGTGATCTGAATTATTCAAATTTCAAAATTTTTGCGACTGAATCCTCGAATGAGTAGGTACAATATTTCATCATTTGCATGGGAATACCATCGTTTTTAAGAACATCAACAATTTTGACCTATAGCATGTACAGACAAATATTAAGGGTAGGATCATTTTTGAATGATTTTTAACTTTTTGTAATATTAAATAACTTTTTGTAACATAAAATAATTAATTTTTTTTCGATTTATTTTTCTATTTTTGTGTTGGCAATAAAATGAAATCATGATTTATTTACATTATATCTATACCGAAAACAGTTTGGGTTCAGGTAAATATAATATAGATCCATTGGTGGCTTGTCTGAAGCATTTGTAGCGACCGTTACAAATTTCTTAAACTATAACGCTGTGAATTATGTTAACCCAACATTTAATTTACATGGAAATACCATCGGTTTATAAAACACTAACAATTTCTCCCTATAGCATGTACAGACAAATATTAAGGGTAGGGTCATGTTGCCGCCACCTTAACAGATCACAGTGTTTACTGAGAAGAAATTACGCCACCTCAACATTACTACTGTCCAGATATCTTTCCTCTGCTCCTAACCCTGATGCCAAAATATCTGTCCCCTCGAACATGATCGGTAAGATCATTGGCCGGCGAGATGCTACTATCTGGGATATCCTAATTTATTATCTATCTGTAATAACTGTAACCCATATTATTAATTTTCATTATTTGGGTAACATAGCAGCTCTATCACATAATGATATGTTAAAACTGTATAAAAGTTATTTCCCCCCCCCCCCCCCTTCATGCCTTAACCTTTTAACATTTTAAATGCATGGCCAGGGAAATTTTATCGTTTTTGTAACACCAGTAAATTATCTCTGCAGCATGTCTAGTCCCGATAGTGCAAGTAAATTTTTAGAGTCGTTTTTCCGCGGTATTATAGATAAAAAGAAAATTCAGCAAGCCAGGATCGATGTTGAGCCAACGGAGGTATTCGAAATATCCGAGAATAAGTGTGGTCTTGTGATCGGTAAAGGAGGATCTAAAATACAGGAGATTCGGTCCAACGCAGGAGTTGATGTTAATCTTGGGGATAGGGTCTCAGCAGTTGATGGTATGATGAAGGTTTATCTGTGGGGAGATAAAGAGGGCTGTGACAAAGCCAAGAAGATTATTATGAATCTAATTTCTGAGCAAAGTGAGGTATTAGAAATACCTGAAGATATGAGTGGTGTAGTGATAGGCAAAGGAGGATCTAAAGTCAAAGAGATTAAGTTTAGCACTGGAGTTGATGTTTTTCTTGGGTCTAGGGATTCTGCAGTTGATGGTATGATCAAAGTTACACTGAGGGGCAAAAAAGAGGGTTGTGACGATGCAAAACAGATTATCTTGGATCTTATTTCTGATGATGAGTTAGAGTGGGGCAGGCTTGTCCGCCGTGGCTAAAACAGGAGTAAGAGTTAGTGTTGGATCTAGGGACTCAACAGTTGGTGGTCTGATCAAGGTTACCTTGAAGGGACACAAAGAGGGCTGTGACGAAGCAAAAAAGATTATTATGAATCTAATTTCTAAGTTAACTGAGGAGTTCGAAATACCCGAGGATATGAGTGGCGTAGTGATAGGCAAAGGAGGATCTAAAATCAAAGAGATTAAGTCCAATACAGGAGTTGATGTTATTGTTGGGTCTAGGGATTCTGCAGTTGATGGCATGATCAAGGTTACCTTAATGGGAAACAAAGAGGGCTGTGACGATGCAAAGAAAATTATTATGGATCTAATTTGTGAGCCAACTGAGGTGTTCGAAATACCCGCGGATAAGAGTGGCGTAGTGATCGGTAAACAGGGATCTCAAATCCAGGAAATTCGGGAATTAGGAGTTGGAGTGTATGTTGGACCTATGGACTCAGCAGTAGATGGTATGATCAAGATTTCTCTGAGAGGAAACAAGGAGAAGTGTGACCACGCAAAGGATTTCATCATGGAGCTGATCTCTGATCTCTGTGAACTAGAGGAGTCGGATGGGCCGTTCAGTGATGGGGCATGCAGTGATTGGTAACAAGAGACTAAACCTCATGTAGCCACCCCGAGTAAGGGTGTTCGAGTTGACAGAACATTATGTGTATAATCATGGTAATTTTTATTGAACAGTTTCCCATTCAATACTCAGAACGGTTTAATACAGCGAATCATTTATATTTTATATATAATATGACATAATTGCATTTTCTTTAAGTTAGCTGCAGCGTCGCAGGCTCGCAGCAAACATTAAACCTGGTTAATGTAGTACCACTGCACCACTGGTTCGAGATTTTTGTCAACTCAAAAAATAGTCGTGTTCATTTTTTTCAAATGAAGGTTCATTTTCGCATCTATTTAATAGTTTGGATAGTCGGATTGAGCTAAATTTTATTGAATTGTGTTTGGCCATTCGAATTACGTTTGTCCAGAAAATGTTAGAGATGTAGCTTCTCAGATGACCTAGATACGAAGCATTTAAACGAGTTTATTCATTACGTGTGATCAGGTGATTGGCTTACCTAATCACGTGATAAGGTGACCCCGTTAACCACCTCGTTAAACATTATGGGAATCTTTAAGGCTGCCGTTGTTAATATCAGGTACAGCATTTGATAATCTACCGTCTCTGAAAAAATTAGGCGTCCAGCATGTTCTGAGATAACAATATAGGTGTTTTAATATTGAATGGGCGTGGTCTAAAGTATTCGAATTTTAAAATTTTGGCGACGGAATCCTCAAACAAGCAGGTACAGTATGCCATCTGCAAAGCAACAACTCTCAAATATAAAACACGGCGGAGGTATAAGACCCAACGTACGGGTACTGACTTTTGGCCCACCCTGTATTATATGTAATCGTAATTTTTGAATGATTTTAACTTTCTGTTTTAAATTTATTGATTATTTCGATTTATTGTTTTATTTGTTCTAGTGGCAATTAAGTGATAATTTGGGATGTGTTTAATTATTCCTCGTGAAAACGGTTAAGGCTCAGTAGATAATATTGGTAACTCATATATAGCGGCCATCTCTACATTTTGTAACCTATAAGTATAACACAGTAAATTATGTCAACAGTCAACAAAAATGTATATTCATGGGTAATTTGGGCATACCGTATAACCATATGTTTGAACAAGTTCTTCCTTCAAAAACACTAACAATTTTTCCCTATAGCATGTACAGACAAATATTAAGGGTAGGATCATGTTGCCGCCACCTTAACAGATCACAGTGTTTACTGAGAAGAAATGACGCCACCTCAACATTACTACTGACCAGATATCTTTCTTCTGCCCCTAAGCGTGATGAAAAAAGTAAAGGACGTAAGTTTTTAGGTCTAAATTTGTTTGGATCGTTAATTATTACTGGGAGGGGGATAACTCTATTTAAAATTTGGCAAACATGGTGAGTTATTTGGGGTAACGTAACTGACGTAAACCAAGTTTTTGCCATTTGAGACCACTCTCCCTCTTATATTAGTTTACGTATCCTGTGAACACCCTAAAGTTTCGTGATCGCTTCTTTTCTTCTTTTGATAAATCTTGTCGACATTTTGTTACCTTATTGTTGAATAAGCCCTCAATACGTACATAACCAAGTTGAAAACCCGGCAGTTATACACTAATAATGATAATGTTAATTTATATTTTTAGCAATCGAGAAGATGACAGACGACATGCTGGAAGAAAGAATGAAAGACCTAAAGGGGAAGAACCCGGAGGAATATGAAAGGATGCGAAAATCTATGTGTAAGTTGTTTTACAGAACATGCAACTCATGTATAGTTAGTTAGTTAGTTGGAGCAGAAGATGGTCTTATCGCCGGCTTAACCCAAACACCCTCTCTCCCTATATATCAATAGTGATATACCAATTTCGTATCATACACTATTGTGGAATGTGGAGGGGGGGCACCCCATAAATACCTATTATTCCCTGATTTCAAAATAGGTATAGGTTATAATATAAATAATAGGTTTTATTGTTTTTTCAGCATTTTTCCTATTTTTAACATCATGTATGCAATTATTTTCATAAAGTAAGATGTTTGAAGTGTTTTTACTGTGCCCTATTTCAGTGATATCAGCTAGAAAGGTAGAGAAGTTTCTAGGTATGGGGGACCACGAGGAGGAAGCCAAGAAAGAAAGTGGTGGGAAGGGAGAAGCAGGACCAGAACCCATGAAGAAACCCGCGATGGACATGACATCGATAGCAGTAGCTGTCGTGTTAGGAGGCATGTTGACGATGTACCTGATGCCTGACCTTACCGACGAGATAACAACAACTGAGTTCATTAATTCTTACGTCGCCTCCCGACAGGTATTAGCTGTTGCTGCTAGTTCATGTTGGGTGCTGTGAAAGTTCATTTTAATGACATCTTCAACCATACCCAGCTGATATATGGAGCATTTTCTTCGATATGCTGAAATATTAACTATCAGTGGTTTGACTGTTTGGTATGGTCACTATGACTCAAATAACAAATGTAATTTTTAGTAGGACAACTCATTAACAATTAACATGTATGTTACAGGTGGTAGATATCGAGGTTTTCACAGCGCGCAACAGCAAAACAGCCTATGCCATGGCCCAAGTAAGAGACAAAGCCGATAAGATCCGGATCAACGTAGGTCACACCTCCTCTCTGGACCGGCAGATGGAGCAGGCTTTTATAGAGTTCGGATACCAGCCCCACGAGAGACCTCCCATCCGATACCGGGATAATATCAGCTTATCGTAATTATATTTTTAGTTTATTTTCTAGTGTTGCAGTGCAATCCTGGTGTAACACCCTTGAATTGTAAAAATGGACAAAAATATTCATTGAATTGCAGAGTTACACTTTGCTTCGGTTGTAAAAATTCTAATATTAAATATTAAAGCTTTAAAGAGCCATAACTTCATAAATAAAGACCAAAAATTATAATTTATTTCAGGAGTTTTGTATACGATTACGCAGGAACATTCCTGCTTATCGGAGCAACTATTTGGCTGTTTAGGAGGTCCTCAAAAGCTATGGGCGGCATGTTTAAAGGTGAACATCAAATAATTGTTTCTGTTCCTTTTTTGATATGTCCTCCATTTATTTGAAAAATTCGGGGTTTATTTTTGCATTTTCGCCTTATCGCTAAAAATAGTCTCCTTCTGGATAAACAATTCGTCGAGTTTGTCATTTTTATAAAGTTATTCTGTCTTGTAATTTAATACGCAATTCAATCGTCCATACAGAAATAATCTGCGATTAAGCTTATTTATTGATTATTGTGGCCCTTCAAGAAACGCTGTTAAGTGTGATATCACCCAGGTATGGGAGGAATGCCTGGAATGCCCGGTCAAGGGAGTAGTAAGGGTCACAAGGTCTACGAGAAAGCAACAGCTCTCAAGGTACTCATATCTTTTAATATCTACTGAAATTGGGTTTAAGGGGGGGGGGGGGGGGGGGGGGGGGGGGGGGTTCACCCTGATTTTTTTGTGAAACTTGGTTTCGAGATAGCAGTTGACCAACAAACTAGGACCGGTGACCAAACTTTTGAGGGGGTCCCGGACCCCAACCGCCAAACGGTGCCCGCGGGGCAGCCACGCCCATATTTGGTCCAAATTAGGCCCAATTTAGCCAAATACCCTCAACATGCCCAAAACCCAGATTTTAGGTGCTTTACTTGTAAAAAAAAATGAATGAGTTATGAGCCAAAAACCATATGCCCATATTTGGGTATACGCACCAAATTTAATAGATTTTGTTCGAGATATTTGGCGGCCAAATTCTGAAAAATGCCCGGCAAATTTCAGAATTTGGACGCCAAATTTTTTTAAAGGCCTAACTCAAAATTCCATATTAAAACTTAAGGTCGAAATGCGATTCTACGTTGATTCTGAAAATTTCATGTAAAAATATTGAAACCCTATTGAGTTCTATTGTTTTGAACGAAATCAGTTTCGCAAATATCGCGAACTGAGATATGGGCGATTTTGTTCATTTTTTGCGATTAATTGAACACAGAATCCAAAGTTAGGTAGATGTTGAGCTGATAATCATAGAGGATGTGTAGTATAGGCTTACCTTCTATATAAAGTTGGTTTCATTCAAAAATATTGATATTTGACCAATTTATGGGCCAAAATCGACCAAATTTGGTGCGTATACCCAAATATGGGCATATGGTTTTTGGCTCATAACTCAGTCATTTTTTGTCCAATCTTGATGAAAATTCATATACGAGTTCAGGGGACTACTAGCTACAAGTAAATCACCTAAAATCTGGGTTTTGGGCATGTTGAGGGTATTTGGCTAAATTGGGCCTAATTTGGACCAAATATGGGCGTGGCTGCCCCGCGGGCACCGTTTGGCGGTTGGGGTCCGGGACCCCCTCTAAATTTTGGTCACCGGTCTTAGTTTGTTGGTCAACTGCTATCTCGAAACCAAGTTTCACAAAAAAATCAGGGTGAACCCCCCCCCCCCCCCCCCCCCCCCCCTTAACGTGTAAATCTATCTTGCAACTCATTTTATATGCACTTATCAATATTTCCCATTTTGAGAAATACACGCCCATATTTGGTCCAAATTAGGCCCAATTTAGCCAAATACCCTCAACATGCCCAAAACCCAGATTTTAGGTGCTTTACTTGTAAAAAAAAATGAATGAGTTATGAGCCAAAACATAGCCTATGGGAGAACGACAAATTTAAAGAGATATCGTAGTGTATTTGTTTCCAGAACATGCAACCATGTCGGTTATTTAGTTATTTGGAGCAGAAGATTTTCTTATACGCCGCTAACCCAAACACCCTCTCTCCCATATATCAATATGGAAATCCATTTCGTACTATTTGAAAATTCGAGGGGTGGGAAAACCCATTAATACCTATTATTCCTGATTTCAAAATAGTTCAGGTTAAATATAAAAATAGGGTTTTTTGTTTTTTTTCATTAATTTCCAATATTTTTAACATCATGTATGCAATTATTCATAATAAGATGGTTGAAGTGTTTTTACTGGCTCCTATTAAGTGATATCAGTCATAAAAGTAGAGAAGTTTCTAGTATGGGACCACAAGAGGAACCAAGAACCAAAAGTGGAATGGTATAGCAGTCAGAACCCATAAGTAACCCGTGATGGACATGACATCGATAGCAGTAGCTGTCGTGTTAGGAGGCATTGTTGACGATGTACCTGATGCCTGACCTTACCGACGAGATAACAACAACTGAGTTCAATAATTCTTACGTCGCCTCCCGACAGGTATTAGCTGTTGCTGCTAGTTCATGTTGGGTGCTGTGAAAGTTCTTTTTAATGACATCTTCCAACCATACCAGCTGATATATGGAGCATTTTCTTCGATATGCTGAAATATTAAACTATCAGTGGTTTGACTGTTTGGTAATGGTCACCTATGACTCAAATAACAAATGTAATTTTTAGGTAGGACAACTCATTAACAATTAACATGTATGTTACAGGTGGTAGATATCGAGGTTTTCACAGCGCGCAACAGCAAAACAGCCTATGCCATGGCCCAAGTAAGAGACAAAGCCGATAGATCCGGATCACGTAGGTCACACCTCCTCTCTGGACCGGCAGATGGAGCAGGCTTTTATAGAGTTCGGATACCAGCCCCACGAGAGACCTCCCATCCGATACCGGGATAATATCAGCTTATCGTAATTATATTTTTAGTTTATTTCTAGTTGTGCAGTGCAATCCTGGTGTAACACCCTTGAATTGTAAAAATGGACAAAAATATTCATTGAATTGCAGAGTTACACTTTGCTTCGGTTGTAAAAATTCTAATATTAAATATTAAAGCTTTAAAGAGCCATAACTTCATAAATAAAGACCAAAAATTATAATTTATTTCAGGAGTTTTTGTATACGATTACGCAGGAACATTCCTGCTTATCGGAGCAACTATTTGGCTGTTTAGGAGGTCCTCAAAAGCTATGGGCGGCATGTTTAAAGGTGAACATCAAATAATTGTTTCTGTTCCTTTTTTGATATGTCCTCCATTTATTTGAAAAATTCGGGGTTTATTTTTGCATTTTCGCCTTATCGCTAAAAATAGTCTCCTTCTGGATAAACAATTCGTCGAGTTTGTCATTTTTATAAAGTTATTCTGTCTTGTAATTTAATACGCAATTCAATCGTCCATACAGAAATAATCTGCGATTAAGCTTATTTATTGATTATTGTGGCCCTTCAAGAAACGCTGTTAAGTGTGATATCACCCAGGTATGGGAGGAATGCCTGGAATGCCCGGTCAAGGGAGTAGTAAGGGTCACAAGGTCTACGAGAAAGCAACAGCTCTCAAGGTACTCATATCTTTTAATATCTACTGAAATTGGGTTTAACGTGTAAATCTATCTTGCAACTCATTTTATATGCACTTATCAATATTTCCCATTTTGAGAAATACCTTTGTCAAAATTGTTTTATTGTACAAATATATAGCTATTGTTAACCCTATTTTCTGTAGGTGAATTTCAAAGATGTCGCCGGATGCGAGGAAGCTAAGCTTGAGATTATGGAATTTGTGAATTTCTTGAAGAATCCTGAACATTATAGGAACTTGGGAGCAAAGATTCCTCGAGGAGCAATACTTCAGGTACACTAGTCTCTTCTCCGTTTCCTTATATAGTTTATAGGTGTATCTAGGCCGGGTTCCCACAATCACGCCAACTGACCTGAAGAATTCCTACCAGTACTGCAAATAATCAAAAATTGTTATTTGGATGAAATTACTGTTAAAATTAATATTCCTCCAATTTGGCAGGGTCCTCCTGGTACCGGAAAGACTTTGCTAGCTAAAGCAACTGCAGGAGAAGCTGGTGTTCCCTTCCTTTCAATTTCCGGTTCCGAGTTCATGGAAATGTTCGTTGGTGTCGGTCCAAACAGGTTATTCTTAAAATAGGATTTTTTTTTTTCAAATCTTGGAATAGAATATTTATGACAAGTTTGAAATTAGATTTGGAGTTGAATTGTTTTTTCCCGGAATCTACCTCTCCGTACAACAAATCTCTCTGTTCACCACAAAATAATCAAGCTAATAACTTCAGAGTTAGAGAGATGTTTAAAGATGCTCGTGAGCAGGCTCCCTGCATAGTATTTATAGACGAGATAGACGCTATAGGTGGCAAGAGAGGTCAGGGAGGCATGGGAGGACACGACGAGCGAGCCAACACTCTGAACCAGCTGCTAGTGGAGATGGACGGGTTCAGTACGGGAGCAGCAGACGTAGTGGTGTTAGCTGGTACTAACAGAGAGGACACCCTCGACCCTGCCCTCCTCAGACCCGGCCGGTTTGACAGGCAGATATATGTGGGGGCACCCGACATTAAGGGGCGTGTTTCCATCTTCATGGTCCATCTGAAGCCTTTGAAGACAGATTTAGTCCTGCTGGACCTGGCTAAGAAGATGGCCACTATGACACCTGGCTTTACTGGAGCTGACATTGCTAATGTCTGTAATGAGGCTGCTCTTATTGCTGCTAGACACGATTGTAAGAGCGTTGAGGAGCACCACTTTGAACAGGCCATCGAGCGAGTTGTCGGTTAGTTCTGGGATTTTAGTTTCTGTTTCACGCTTGTATTCTAGAATTGATTTTACTTTCCCATAACACACTATCTCTCATTTCTTATCTCTTATCTCTGATTATAACCCTGTAACTCCTCCAACCAGGTGGTCTAGAGAAGAAGTCACGTGTCCTATCCCCGCAGGAGAAGAGGACTGTGGCTTATCACGAGGCTGGTCAGTGCGGCTTTGTAACTTTAACGTTTACCTGGCTCCTAGACCATAGTCCGAACTCAATAACACACACCCCATTATCTATATCGGTCCGTAGAACCACCCGACATAATCTTTAGGTCTGCATATTTAGAAGAACTAGTGCTGAACTGACTGGGGATCATCTTTACAATACAATCCTCTACAGAGTCTAAACACATTGTTTTGCAGGTCACGCCATCTCTGGCTGGTATCTCGAACACGCCCACCCCCTCCTCAAAGTCAGCATAGTCCCCCGAGGTAAAGGAGCTCTGGGTTACGCCATGTACCTCCCTAAAGAGCTGTCTCTCCACACTACCGATCAACTTCTGGATATGATCTGCATGACGTTGGGAGGCAGGGCTAGTGAGCAGATCATATTCGGCAAGATCAGTACAGGTTAGTTGTCTGATCAGTACAGGTTAGTTGTCTGATCAGTACAGGTCAGTTGTCTGATTAGTACAGGTTAGTAGTCTGATCAGTACAGGTCAGTTGTCTGATCAGTGCAGGTTAGTTGTCTGATCAGTACAGGTTAGTTGTCCGATCAGTACAGGTTAGTTGTCTGATCAGTACAGGTTAGTTGTCTGATCAGTACAGTCTGATCAGTACAGGTTAGTTGTCTGATCAGTACAGGTTAGTTGTCTGATCAGTACAGGTTAGTTGTCTGATCAGTACAGGTTAGTTGTCTGATCAGTACAGGTTAGTTGTCTGATCAGTACAGGTTAGTTGTCTGATCAGTACAGGTCAGTTGTCTGATCAGTACAGGTTAGTTGTCTGATCAGTACAGGTTAGTTGTCTGATCAGTACAGGTTAGTTGTCTGATCAGTACAGGTTAGTTGTCTGATCAGTACAGGTTAGTTGTCTGATCAGTACAGGTTAGTTGTCTGATCAGTACAGGTTAGTTGTCTGATCAGTACAGGTTAGTTGTCTGATCAGTACAGGTTAGTTGTCTGATCAGTACAGGTTAGTTGTCTGATCAGTACAGGTTAGTTGTCTGATCAGTACAGGTTAGTTGTCTGATCAGTACAGGTTAGTTGTCTGATCAGTACAGGTTAGTTGTCTGATCAGTACAGGTTAGTTGTCTGATCAGTACAGGTTAGTTGTCTGATCAGTACAGGTTAGTTGTCTGATCAGTACAGGTTAGTTGTCTGATCAGTACAGGTTAGTTGTCTGATCAGTACAGGTTAGTTGTCTGATCAGTACAGGTTAGTTGTCTGATCAGTACAGGTTAGTTGTCTGATCAGTACAGGTTAGTTGTCTGATCAGTACAGGTTAGTTGTCTGATCAGTACAGGTTAGTTGTCTGATCAGTACAGGTTAGTTGTCTGATCAGTACAGGTTAGTTGTCTGATCAGTACAGGTTAGTTGTCTGATCAGTACAGGTTAGTTGTCTGATCAGTACAGGTTAGTTGTCTGATCAGTACAGGTTAGTTGTCTGATCAGTACAGGTTAGTTGTCTGATCAGTACAGGTTAGTTGTCTGATCAGTACAGGTTAGTTGTCTGATCAGTACAGGTTAGTTGTCTGATCAGTACAGGTTAGTTGTCTGATCAGTACAGGTTAGTTGTCTGATCAGTACAGGTTAGTTGTCTGATCAGTACAGGTTAGTTGTCTGATCAGTACAGGTTAGTTGTCTGATCAGTACAGGTTAGTTGTCTGATCAGTACAGGTTAGTTGTCTGATCAGTACAGGTTAGTTGTCTGATCAGTACAGGTTAGTTGTCTGATCAGTACAGGTTAGTTGTCTGATCAGTACAGGTTAGTTGTCTGATCAGTACAGGTTAGTTGTCTGATCAGTACAGGTTAGTTGTCTGATCAGTACAGGTTAGTTGTCTGATCAGTACAGGTTAGTTGTCTGATCAGTACAGGTTAGTTGTCTGATCAGTACAGGTTAGTTGTCTGATCAGTACAGGTTAGTTGTCTGATCAGTACAGGTTAGTTGTCTGATCAGTACAGGTTAGTTGTCTGATCAGTACAGGTTAGTTGTCTGATCAGTACAGGTTAGTTGTCTGATCAGTACAGGTTAGTTGTCTGATCAGTACAGGTTAGTTGTCTGATCAGTACAGGTTAGTTGTCTGATCAGTACAGGTTAGTTGTCTGATCAGTACAGGTTAGTTGTCTGATCAGTACAGGTTAGTTGTCTGATCAGTACAGGTTAGTTTTCTGATCAGTACAGGTTAGTTGTCTGATCAGTACAGGTTAGTTGTCTGATCAGTACAGGTTAGTTGTCTGATCAGTACAGGTTAGTTGTCTGATCAGTACAGGTTAGTTGTCTGATCAGTACAGGTTAGTTGTCTGATCAGTACAGGTTAGTTGTCTGATCAGTACAGGTTAGTTGTCTGATCAGTACAGGTTAGTTTTCTGATCAGTACAGGTTAGTTTTCTGATCAGTACAGGTTAGTTGTCTGATCAGTACAGGTTAGTTGTCTGATCAGTACAGGTTAGTTGTCTGATCAGTACAGGTTAGTTGTCTGATCAGTACAGGTTAGTTGTCTGATCAGTACAGGTTAGTTGTCTGATCAGTACAGGTTAGTTGTCTGATCAGTACAGGTTAGTTGTCTGATCAGTACAGGTTAGTTTTCTGATCAGTACAGGTTAGTTTTCTGATCAGTACAGGTTAGTTGTCTGATCAGTACAGGTTAGTTGTCTGATCAGTACAGGTTAGTTGTCAGATCAGTACAGGTTAGTTGTCTGATCAGTACAGGTTAGTACACGTTTCAGACCATAAAAAGATAAATATCGCAAAGCAATACCGCTAAGTGGGCGCTGGTTAGCTTGATTTGTTTGTTGGTCACGTGATATATCTCATCTTCAGGAGCTTCAGACGATCTGAGAAAAGTAACGCAGTGGGTGTATGGCATGATAATCCAGTACGGAATGAACCCGCAAGTAGGACATCTCTCATTTGATCTTAACCAGAATCCTTACATCAAACCATTCAGCGAACAAACCAGCCATCTTATTGATGCCGAGGTTAGTGTTTTATTAAATTATTGTTTTATTAAATTAGTGTTTTATTAAACTAGTGTTTTATTAAATTAGTGTTTTATTAAATTAGTGTTTTATTAAATTAGTGTTTTATTAAATTATTGTTTTATTAAATTAGTGTTTTATTAAATTATTGTTTTATTAAATTAGTGTTTTATTAAATTGGTGTTTTATAGTTTAAGTGGTTTAAAAATGAATTGCATCTTTATTACTTTCTTCTTTAAAGCTGTAGTTTAACCCTTGTTTACTTTTACAGGCTAGGCAATACGTTGAAGAAGCGTACGCTAGGACGATACAACTGCTGACTGAGAAACGAGCAGACGTTGAACTGGTACGCAGCTTTAAATGAGATTTTAAATCGTGTTTTCATTTTGCAAAAAATGTATCCATTAAGTATTGCGTGCATATTCTATATTATAAGCTTAATCTGGAATGGAAATACACATTTATCATGTTTATGGTGAATGTTAAATGACTTAATGATTGGTATGCAGGTAGCTGAAGAACTGTTGAAGAATGAGGTGTTGACGAAAGAAGATATGGTGAGGTTGCTAGGAGACCGCCCCTGGGGGGAGAAGAGTACGTACGATGAGCTGGTTGCTGGTACAGGAGGCGACATGGAAGACACTTCAGGTACCTTTTTAAACTTCTCTTCGAAAATACCCCACATTTATATTTGAAATTTTTGACAGCAGCAATTTTGTCTGCAACTCCGAATGTCAAACATTTGATTGGATATGATCCCACCTTTCAACCTCTGTGTTTCAGTGCCAGAGGGTCTAAAGAACCTAAAAGATGAGTTGGACGCTAAAGATGCAGCAGAACTAGTGGAGGAAGATAAGAGGTAATATCTCATAATATTCATCAGATCGTCTTCAATTTTTGACAAGAATTTTAATGTGGTTTTAAGCGCACCTTATAGCTCTGTAAGATTATTTGTCTGATTTCTGATCCATCTTTCATACCTATATCGATAAACCAGTAAATTTACAATAAATTTCGTCGACTAATGAACATTATCATCCTCAGGGAGAAAGGCACGTCTGCTTGATTATCTCAACACTTAGCCCCTAATGTAACTTGGGAGCTCTCAAAGGATAAACTTATATCTTAGATCTGAAAGAGATAACGCACTCCAAGAACACTTGAACAGTCTCGGATTGAAACTCTTTAATTTATTATCCGTTTGATCTCCCTGGTCGTGCTTTTAAGTTTTCAGATAGAATGGAAGATTTGAAATGTCGTGACCCGACCTGATTTATATAGTTGTACCCTCAACATTAATGAACGATCACTGGAATGAATTACCAGATGACCAGTGACCACTAAACCATCATGGATCATGACGCTATATATATAGAATAGTGTGGGGACCTTTCAGTTGTGGTTGTTTATTTGTGTGCGAATAGCAATTTAAAATGTTTGCAATTTGTAATTTAGTGTTGTTTATTCTTTTCACAAACAAAACATCTGAAATATATATTTGTTATGTGCTAAGCCACTTTCAGTGAGCAGCACATCTATTTTTACCAAGAAGAAAGATCTCTCAAATTTTGAAAGTAGAATAAATAGTCATGATTCCATTTCCACGATATCAAGCCGGTTAAACCACAATACTGAACTGCCAATACTATCCGCTGCCAGATAGCAATTTGACATAATTTGACCTAAGTAGGACCGTAAAGCTGGCGAGGTTCCGTTCTGGGGTAGGTAGAGCATCAAAGTAAAATGTAAAATCAGTGCCACCACAGTTATAATGCGACAGCTGGTTCACCTTTAAGTACCTCCGTGTTTGACAGGTAAAGGTTGTAACCGTGATTTAGACAGACTCGCTCTGACCCATTCTGACTCTGTATAGATCTGGATTCTGTTTGGGAACCATATTTCTACTGACACGTGACTGTCGACAAACCGATAAACCAATCAGTTTCCAGCGTTGGCCAGTCAAAACCCGCTGTCACGTGACAAAACAGTTCTACAAGTCTTTGAGTCTGAAAGACACGTGCTAGTCAGGGCGGTAGTGTCGTCACACTCACAGTCACAGTGAAGGGATCTCTATTTAAAATACTCGCGACTATGACATTGTTCCGTCTCATGCCGATAACTAGTTTTAAGGTATTATTCAGCTTGTGCGTCACGAATCGGAATACTTAATGCATTATGGTCGTCATCATTTCACCATGGTGAGAGTGGATGAAATAGTATTTAAGAGGCATTTTCATTTGTAAACGGACCGAATCCGTAACGCTTAATAAATTCCTGTTAATATTAATATGTACTTGTAGTTGTAGGGTTATAGGTTTTATTTTTAACCTACTTTTATATTTACAATAGTACTAACTACTCCTACTAGTACTAACGCGGGCGCCGAGTTGCTTCGCAATTCAGCGATGATGATAATTTCATTTCAAATAAATATTGTACGAATATCACTTGTGAATGGTTTATTAACGGGTGATGCTCGTAAAATATTTGTTCCAAATAAATCAGGACCGTCGACGAGTCCAACTCGGCGCGCGTCCTGGTAGTGGTAGGTTATAAACCTACAAATGGTTTAATTAGGTTTGGGATAATAAGAATTTACCTGGGGACCCCAGGCTATTATGTTTATATTTATAAACATATAAAGATTCGGCGAAATGACAGGCTGAGTGCCGCCCAGTAAATAAGAATATGATTAAAGAAGCCGGTAGAGATTCGTTCCGCCGCGCCACCCATTTCCATTTTTGCAAGTTTGAAGTTATACTTATAAGCTCGAGCTTGCTTAATTTAACAAATTATTTTTGATTCTATAAATCGATCCATTAATTTCGCTCTATGCTAGTTGAGTAGTCGTGAGTCTGTACACTGAATGTAGTCGTCATTCAATTTTCACATTAGTCGCTGAGTCGCTCGCGCTGCTCAGTGCTCAGTGCTCAGTGCTCTCAGTAAACACCAAAAAATTAACAGTGGCAGTTCTCACGCAGTTAGACTTAGGGGCATAATAAACCTATTCAACATTTTAGTTGTAATGTGTAATGTCCGTTAATGTAATTCAAAATTTGCAAAATACTTTGACCATGAATGATGAAAAAAAACCAGTTTTATTCTTTTGTACATGTACATGGTATACAGTACAGGAAAACTGAGTTGCGGTAAGGTAATAGTAATAGTAATACTAATACTAATAGTGAATAGTAATACTTAACGGGTGATACTCGTAAAATATTTGTTCCATATATTATATAGGACCGTCGACGAGTCCAACTCGGCGCGCGTCCTGGTACTGGTAGGTTATAAACCTACAAAGTAATAGTAATACTATAAAAAATCCAATCTCGAGACCCACTCAGGATCCCAAAACCACGACTCTCCTTCCGGTCGCGGTCGTCTGTACCTGCTTTTTCCCTCCCAGCAGGAACAAATTCAATGAACTGTCTTCCATCGATGGCCTTGTTCTTATAAGTGTTCACTCGGCGCTCACAATGGGAGATAACCTGTTCAGAGATCTGCTTCAGAACCATGTCGTGCCGCCATCTATATCTTCATTGACTAAGAGCTACTTTGCACCCAGCCAAAATGTGCTGAATGGTATTCATCCTCTCCTCACATAACTTGCACTTCCCATCCTCATCTTCACTCCACTTGGAGTTGGATTGTATCACGTTGCGACCCCCACGGTCGTTTCACTATCGGTCGTTTCACTATCGTCCTGACGATACGAGGGGAGCCGCGCACTTCGTGCGCGGTGGGTCATACAACGTATGACAAGAGTTGGAGACCATAAAGGGGGTTAAGAGGGTGCCGTACACAGCACTTAGTATGAACCCAATAAGTGAGTCACCATACTTAAAAAGTGTATGCTAGCTCAAATCTGTCTTCATTACGAAATCTCCACTCGGCACTCACCCCACTTGCTCTGCATCTCCAGAGAACCCACTTGAACCTCCCTCTTTCTTTTAATGTTCTCCTTCATTCTCAGCATAACCTCCATATGCATATTTTTTTCCCGCTCATCCATCCTCTCCCAAGGTTTTTTCCAGTCACCAAAACCGATGCACGAACAAGAATACAGAATAGTTTTAAACAAGGAGTAGGATAAGGGTAGTACTGTAGTATAACACGAAGAGTTCTAAACGAAGAGCAAAATGAGGAGCAGTTTACACGAAGAAAAAGCAAAAAGTTAGTAAGGTAAAACGTACGAAGAATGCATTCAAATCGAACAGATTGTCTTTATATTAAGAAACAATAAAAACATTACAGTTTATAAAAGTAAACAACTGAATTGTTGTTTTAAACAGTAACTGAAACTCTATATTCCAATTAGGAAGAAAAAGTAATGACAATGAAATAAAACAGTTTCTCTAATCCAGTAACAAATTGGTAGATTCATATATATCAGGAGCAAAATAGATGGGAATTGAAAAATGACCTCGTGTTATGTAGAAAGTTATGATCGGATCCAATGCGAATTTTTTGCGCATAAGCAAAGATTGAACTTTTATTGTTTATGAGCCGCGCGCCTCATATCATATCACTCCTCGTATCATTACACCCCTACGCCAAGCCATTAAACTAATTAAATGGGTCTACAGAGATTCGTAACGCGCGAAAGTACAAAGTTCCGAGTTAAGGGGGGGGGGGGGGGGGGGGGGGGGGGGGGGGGGGGGGGGGGGGTTCACCCTGATTTTTTTGTGAAACTTGGTTTGGCGGACCCCAACCGCCAAACGGTGCCCGCGGGGCAGCCACGCCCATATTTGGTCCAAATCAGGCCCAATTTAGCCAAATACCCTGAACATACCCAAAACCCAGATTTTAGGTGCTCTACTTGTAGCTAGTGGTCCCCTGAACTCGTATATGAAGTTTCATCAAGATTGGACAAAAAATGACTGAGTTATGAGCTAAAAACTATATGCCCATATTTGGGCATACCTACTAAATTTGATCGATTTTGGCCCATAAATTGGTCAAATATCAATATTTTTGAATGAAACTAACTTTATATTATTATATGAAAGGTAAGCCTAAACTACACAGTCTCTATGATTATCAGCTCAATATCTACCTAACTGTGGATTCTGTGTTCAAATAATCGCAAAAAATGAACAAAATCGCCCATATCTCAGTTCGCGATATTTTGTATTTGCAAAACTGACTTCGCTCAAAACAATAGAACTCAATAAGGTTTCAATATTTTTTCATGAAATTTTCAGAATCAACGTAGAATTGTCTCATGACCTTAAGTTTTGGGACAGAATTTTGAGTTAGGCCTTTTAAAAAATTTGGCGGCCAAATTCTGAAAAATGCCCGGCAAATTTTAGAATTTGGCCGCCAAATTCTGTCCCAAAACTTAAGGTCATGAGACAATTCTACGTTGATTCTGAAAATTTCATGAAAAAATATTGAAACCCTATTGAGTTCTATTGTTTTGAGCGAAGTCAGTTTTGCAAATATCGCGAACTGAGATATGGGCGATTTTGTTCATTTTTTGCGATTATTTGAACACAGAATCCACAGTTAGGTAGATATTGAGCTGATAATCATAGAGACTGTGTAGTTTAGGCTTACCTTTCATATAAAGTTAGTTTCATTCAAAAATATTGATATTTGACCAATTTATGGGCCAAAATCGATCAAATTTAGTGGGTATGCCCAAATATGGGCATATAGTTTTTAGCTCATAACTCAGTCATTTTTTGTCCAATCTTGATGAAACTTCATATACGAGTTCAGGGGACCACTAGCTACAAGTAGAGCAGACTAAAATCTGGGTTTTGGGCATGTTCAGGGTATTTGGCTAAATTGGGCCTGATTTGGACCAAATATGGGCGTGGCTGCCCCGCGGGCACCGTTTGGCGGTTGGGGTCCGGGACCCCCTCAAAAGTTTGGTCACTGGTCCTAGTTTGTTGGTCAACTGCTATCTCGAAACCAAGTTTCACAAAAAAATCAGGGTGAACCCCCCCTTAATGAGTCTCAATACTTTTTTTCCGTACTATAATCATGTCATGCACATGAAATGTCTTATATAAGGGGGGGGGGGGGGGGGGGGGGGGGGGGGCCGGGGGGGTTCACCCTGATTTTTTTTGTGAAACTTGGTTTCGAGATAGTAGTTGATCAACAAACTAAGACCGGTGACCGAACTTTTGAGGGGGTCCCAGACCCCAACCGCCAAACGGTGCCCGCGGGGCACACAGCAAACCCTACCAGCTGGGGTATATCTCCAAAAGTAAAATAAATAGAACCTTCCGGTTTTCAACAAAATTTCCGTCTCGTGAATTTACAGTTGGCTCCCCAGGAGCCAAATTTGGGACAACGTAGATTCTGAATTAAACCGAAAAGTTTGATTTTGGGCTAAATAAAAGATCACAGCTTTTAAACTTTGCAAAGAAATGTCGTTGTCCATTGTCATGACTACTAAGCTAAATGCAGCGTGCGAAAAGTAAACTTGACGTGACGCGCGACGACAAACGTGCTGTTGAAAATCTATC